GCGGACAGGCCAAGCAGAAGGATGGCAAAAAGGCAACTTCTTGTCCAGTTTGCAGCATCTGAACATGTGTGAAATGTTCGAACTTGGCTAGGGAAGCAAAGAATCCACTCCATCAGCGGTGCTGGGCTCGGCGTGGTTGAATGTCAGCACTTAAGAAGCTGCGTCACTTGGCTTGGACTAGCGACAGAGCACGTCCAGATGCAGGCGAAAGGAGGTTATCAATATCCTCAAGGAACCGTCCTCGAGTCATGTCGACTTAGTAGCAGCAGTCTTGACAAGTCGTTGTTTGTGCTCGCTTGCTGTGAGCGGCGAGTGTCCCGAAGGCTACTACGGATTTCCAGGTGCGCGGCTTATGCATGGCTTAGCTCAATTTCGCAGATTTTGTTCGGATTGCGGATTCTTGCGCTGGGTAATTGCCCCAAGGAGGCTTCCCCCCCTATCCAGGCCTGCACGATTGAACAGAGCCTCAAAACCAGCGGGCCTTTCATCAAGATCTGCTGCCAGGTTACAATCCGGCAGTCTACGCTTATGCGCAGCTCGCTGCTGCACAAAATGCCCAGGTTGCTTCCCACTTAGCATCTTGGTGTTGCCTCCACAAGTCTCTGCAGCAGGCCATTCAAGTTGCTCAGTTGCAAGCCCAAGCATCGGCGCGAAAGCATGCAGGAGATCGGTTGTTGGTTTGTATGTTCGGCACATAGACTTACCCGAACTGTCCCGCAGGCAAAGGTGGCGCCAAATCTGGCATGGTGCTCAGATCGTGTGGCCGTGGCGTTGCGCAGCACAGCTGGGTCGACCCACGCGTAAGAGTGTGAGGATTGTTCCCGAGCATTTTGGATCCTTTAGCCGCGGCCGTCAACCACAAGGAGCTGCCCAGCGGTTTTCTTCACACAGCGTGTTCTTTTGTGTGCCAGGAGAACGAAGAGCTCTCAGAGGATCAGAAAGCCCAACTCAGGTGTGCGTCTTGCTATGGACAGCACAACTCTGCCGGATCATGCTAGCTGGAACGTTGGCAGGCATCAAGTGGAATATTACTTCTCTACTGACAACCTCTGCAAGGCCCCATGGATCTTTGGAATTTGCTTTCATGAATGACTTTGGTCGCCAGGATCTTTTCCTGAGAGAACACATGGAACGCGATGGCTGGGTAGCTTTGGACCTGATCCGCACCTTTCCACGGGTCATCTCGCCGAAATTGATGTGTCTTTCTTGCAGGCTTTGGAGAACAGAACCGATAGATCGAGTATGTGCGTGCACTCACCAGACTCGCCAGGTTTCAAAGTTCAGCGTCTCAAGCAAGAAACTCATGGAGGCAGTAGTGTTCTTCTGACTTTCGTGATGCCTCAGCAGCAAAACATTTTCGTGATCAGGCATGCGCCAAGTCTGAGAAACTGGAGATTGATGACAATCAAGAGAAGATCAGGCCTGTCTCTGCGTTGCACATGCGTGCCAGCAGGAAAAAAGATGTGTGGCTAAATGCAAGCCACCGGCCTGAGAGGCTTGCAAATGCGGACGAGAGGAGCAAGTGGGCCAACACACCCGTCGGCCACCTAGACCTAGCGCTCTTGCCAAATCCTGCCAGCAGTTCGGCCAGTGTGGCATGACATGGATGCGATTTCCAGGTGCCACCCGACTACAAGAAGCGCTCGGCATGAGTGGCTGCCACCTTGGGCAGATCCATTCTTTACAGTCTGACAATGAAAGCCTGCCAAGCTTCGCAGTAAGGAGGCTCGGAACAGCATTTGTTCCAGCCCGCTGTAGAGCAATCACAGAACCATGTTCTTTGGAGTGTTTAAGCCGTGCTCTATGCCGGGTGTCCCAGACTGGTCCATGGCGAACCGGTCGATCTGGGAAATTCTGAAGCGACCTCGTCGTGATCAGTGCAAGCGCTGCTTGCAACAAATTCTTTGCCTTGTGGCTTCTTCGGGCCGTCTTTGTTCATAAAGTGTCGTTGGGTGCCAGATGTGCTCCCCTCGCTGCGTAGCCACTGCGTCGTTTTGGCCGGGCTGCAAGAAATCAATGAGCTTTTCCTGGCCTTGTGAACTGAAAAGTTCACTGCCCACTAGACAACTCCATGTCACTCTCCTCATCTCTGTTCTAAACTCCTAAACCCAGCAGCCAGCAGTCTTCTTCGTGAAATCGCATAGCAGCATGCAGTTTCGGCACTGGAGTCTCGCTTGGAGCACCTAGTGGAGCAAGCTACGCATGAGATGTATAGACTTCTGCACAGACCAAACGTGTGTGATGGTGTGTGTTTCCTACCAAACTGCAAGGTATTTCCATAAGTCTTAGCATGGTTGGACCATTGTTTGGAAATCAGAACCACTTTCATGACACATGAGTTTTGCAAACTCGTGTGGGCATCAAGTGGTCTCGGAGAAGGTGGCTCGGTGGCTTCGGTTTTTATTCGTGTCAATTCAACTTAGCTGTACGACAGGGCCCCGCGAGCCCAGAGCCGCCCTGTTCTCCTGCCGAACGTGCGTGGAGCTGTTCTGGAGACAAGTCGAGTCGAGCCTTTCTTGGCTAGAGGCCATATGAAGGGTCTCATGTTCCCGGACTTGTTACTCGTAGCAAGCGGAATGGTTGCAATTCTAGAATTTCCCATGTATATCTAGTATATCTACCGTAGCGTTCCATCGGTTTTGTGTTTTTTGTCTTTGGCTGCCGTTGGGTCTCTTGTTGCCCCGTTTGGATGTTCGATGGGTACAGAGGGAACTGACAGCGTGCAGTAGCCGAGCAAGAGGCATGGAAGACACCGTCACGATGCCACACCCGAGCGAACGCTTCCATGCCTTTCAGACTTAATGGTACAGCGGCGTGAGGTCAGAAAAGACTGCACAGCACTGGCTGATCCTGGTAGTGTCCTGAAGTGATAGGGCTCACGTCACAGACAGCGGGGCATAAAATGTGCTTGTGGTGATTTACTCTGGCTGTGTTTGGGTTCGCAGCTCCTAATGTCTTAGTGAATCTCATCTCGTGCCGACCTGGTCCATCCATGTTCTACTGCAGCAGTATACTACCAGCAGCAACTCATGTGTCGGTTTAGCAGCCGTTGTTCTGACTGCTGGTGCGGCTTAGACTCTGTGAGACCGCCGCAGGCTTGAATGCAAACAGATCTTTGGCTGGGTCATTTATCTGTATGCGCCCTCGGGATGACTGGTGTTCGTCAACCTGCGGCCAAGGAATGCTGAGTTGGCCGTCTGTACTCTCCAGCAACGCAGCCAGCAGGCAAGGGCCACTGCATGGTCAAGGTGATGATAGTATGCGGACACCACCGTACTACTACTACTACTACTACTACGACTACTACTACGACTACTACGACTACTACGACTACTACGACTACTACGACTACTACGACTACTACGACTACTACGACGACTACGACTACGACTACGACTACGACTACGACTACGACTACGACGACGACGACTACTACTACTCCTGCTGCTGCTGTTACTGTTACTGTTTCTTCTACTACTACTACTACTACTACTGCTACCACTACTGCTACTACTACTGCTACTACTACTGCTACTACTACTGCTACTCCTGCTACTCCTACTACTACTGCTACTACTACTACTACTAAACTACTAAACTACTAAACTACTAAACTACTACTACTACTACTACTACTACTACTACTACTACTACTACTACGACTACTACTACAACAACAACAACTACTACTACTACTACTACTACTACTACTACTACTGCTACTGCTACTAAAACTACTACTAAAACTACTACAGTACTACTACTACTACTACTACTACTACTACTACTACTACTACTACTACTACCACTACCACTACCACTACCACTACCACTACCACTACCACTACCACTACCACTACCACTACCACTACCACTACCAGTACTACTGCTTTATTGTTAGTGAGTTCCATTGAGACTGGAAACAGCGAGTCCTATGCAACAAGTCAGTTTTTTTGTCCGTTGGCCGGCTCCGAGGCTTGGCCAGTGGCGGGAACAAAGAGACTTTCCTCGTCAATTGGAGCGCTGTGCCTGCCGGTCGCAGCCTCATTTCTTCTTGCCAGGGGCTTCTCATGCTAGATGATGCGTACTTCACAGGAGTTCACGGGAGGCAAGACAGTCTGTCGCACGCTCCTGCGCAGCACAACCACACACATTGCAATTACTGTGTATTATATATATATGTATACACACACATTATACACTCATATTTCGGTGTGTATACGTGTTGGATACGTGCACATAAGTTTAACTCATTTTAACTCACGTAGCTGAAGCTTTTAGTAACATGAGCCGCATGTTCCCCCAAGGTCAAGCTGGAAGCGCGGTCACGCCCTAGTGGAAGCCTTACCCCAGTTGTCTGGCTGCTTCACGCTTTTAGCCACCTTGGAGGGCGATGTTGCTCACGGAAGTGCTGACTCTGACAGAGATGCAGTGTCTTACTTCCTTTATCGTGTTTTCTTGCTTTCCTCTTGCTTGCCTCGGAAGTGTACGTGAGCTTCAGCAGCCCCGAATCGTCTGGGATCTTAGATGTGAAGAGATCAAGAGGTCAACAAACCTGTGCTCGTGTCTATGGGTCGCGCCTTCTTTATTGAACTGCAAGATCGGTGGCATTGTCTTCTGGTCGTTTGTGCGTGGGCACAGTTCTCTTTATCTTTCAGCATCAGCCAGATGTCCAAAGTTGCAAGGAATCATCGAAACTTGCTGTTTCTTCCGCATGGCCTGACTTGTCGTTGTTGTCGGTCGTGGTGGCATTGCTTCTGATGTTGTTGCCGGATTGGTTTTTCAACGGCTTCGTCCAGTTGATGGCAGCAAGTGTCCCAACGATCATAACCCGTGGTCTTGACGAGGCCATCTCTTCTGCTATCGCATTGTGGGCGAGGCACTGCTAGCTGGTAGCTGCATGCTTCTTGAGTTCAGCGACCCAGCTTCGGCATTCGAGGTCAGGAGGGCATCGGTCAGACAAAGGCATGGCTTGAAGCATCATCTTCAGATCAGATGTGATGCTGCTTGCAGGTGCGTGTCTGGCTACGCGCCAGGCGGACTGCGTTCAAGCTCGAGCGAGGTTTTATATCATGCTTCTGGGAAAGGCTCCTCCTCGACCCCCGAAAGAAGATCCGACCCCATTTCCTCGGCAGCCGATCTTTCCGCCTGTGGCATTGTGCCAATCCTCGGACTCAGAGTTTCATGGCAAGCTGAGTGGTATCCCTTCGCCGACTTAGTCACCTTCTGGGGCTCTTCCACTCCGATGATCCAGATCTGGAGGATGCCCAGGGGATCTTTCGTAGACTTTCTGTGCAAGTCTGCGGCCTGCGTGAGGAGCTGATCGATGCGCTTGAAGATCTGCAGGATCTGCATGAAACGGACAGGTCGGGAAGTCAGTGCACCATTGGACCATGGCAGTCCTGCCCTTGCTTGCAAGACTTGCGGCTTGCTAGATTTTGGCTGGCTTCGCACATCTTCGCAAGAATGTGGGATGAATGGTATTCCATGAGTTTGGCGAGCTTTTGGCATGGTAGACCACCTGTGACCCAAAACAAGGGTGTTTCAGTGAAGTCAGAGAGCAAGCCAGTGCAATTCAACATGGAAGCAAAGCGGCCGATGAGCCGGAGGAAGCTCACCTGGGCAGGCCCGGGGTTTGGTAGGCGTCTTACATCATGACGGTTCCTACATGTGAGGCGAGCAGCTGAAGAGCTTGCTGGATCCGATTATCCTGCCAACTGTGGATCAGTTCCCACAAATCACGTGCGGTCCGGAGCTTGAAAGTTGCAACTGGCACAGTGGATGTCGATGCCAGCGACTGCCGCCTGCTGCAGGCTTCCTCATTGCCTTCCACATTTGTTTAATCTTGCTTGCAGGCAGCAGAACCAGGGTCACGACTGACCCTTCTGACTTGCACAGCCTCTGGCTGATCAGGTCAGATTCTGAACTTCGTTTGGAAATCTGGAAGCCCGGGCAGTCTGCTTCAAGGACCATATGATTTTGCTACTTGCCAGAGTTACACAAAACACCTGACGAGAACGTGACATCAGTGCAGCCGGCTGCACGTGGCCTCACTTCTGTCGGTGTCGCCAAGGTCCGTCAACTGCCCGGAGCTTCATCACCACTTTTCTTCGTGGTGCCCTATGCCGTGACTCATGCTTCTGGGCTGCATGCCTGCTGCAAGTCCGGAAGTACATCAGCTGCGTCCACATTTTTGGAGCTGCGAGGTTCTAACCTGCTCTGTGTACCTCCTGTTGGATTGGTGGAGGTGCGGCTGTTTTTGAAGTTTTCCTTGAGCTTTGCAGTAGTCGATGTTGCCGCGAGACCTACCTGGGTCCAGAAGATGATGGCACAGAGCCGGCCAGCTGGGGACTGGGGAGGTCACGTTCTCAGCAAGTTGCAGGGCTGTTGCATGGTCTTTTGCGGCACCTGGTTCAGAAGGTCCAGATCTTGGGTTGACAAGGACATTGTTGACACAGCTCTCAGCTCGAGTCTCGGAAGCTACACGTTTTCGATTCTGTGAGATCGATACCCGCTACCGCAGCAGCAGGTCACTTGTCGGCGGACTGCATGAAAACATTGTGGCTTTCCAACGTGTTTCAGTGCGCTTGAAGAGCGGGTTTAGCGAGAGCCTTCTGCTCAAGTTTGGGAACTTCGTGGGACGAATCTATGTGTGAGGCACGAGCTGACAAAAGTAAAAGGCCGGAACCAATCCTAAGCAAGAGCAGCATAGTACCCGAGAGGTGCGAAGCCATTGCTCATCGGAGTGTGCTCGGAAGATGCCGACTCTAGAAGACACGCACGTTAGGCCTTGTCGTGTCAGGAACTGAGCTGTGGCAGCCATGCCTTCGCACATGACTTGATGCTGCTCCTGCTCCAGTGAGACCTGCTCCACTCTAACATGCCGTTCGAAAAAGAATAGGGGGAAGTCGAGTGACCACGGGAAGGAGGGGCCAGGCATCAGATTGTCGAGAAACTCTCAGCCGGAGATTGAGAGACTAGTTGCAGCAGCTTCTCTGCTTAGGTGCTCCCCTTCACTGGAAGTGTGGCGGCTCTGATGATCATCAGGCCAGAGAAGGAGTTGTTCTGATATGGATGTTGAATAACCGTCGTGTCGAGGGTCATGGTCTCTGGACAAGCATGTGCAGTAGCATCACCATGCCAGTCATCAATTTGATGTTGATCAGCGGTGGGTGAGAGGGGCGCAAGTGCAGTCGACACCATGGCACCAGGGGCTATCGTTTCGATCGATTCTTTTCTCGGCGCTGAAGCTCATTATTGTTCGGGCAGACGGTTTTGGCAGACTCTTCTGACTCCTCGTAGTCTACGAAGGTTGGGGGCAGAACCTTGCAACGCACAATCTTGAGAGTTTGGAAGGGGTGGGCCAGTTCCATATACGAGTCCGTGGGTGGAGCCTCGGATGCAACAAGAGCCCGGTGTGGTCGTGTGTAGGATTGCGGCACTTGCTGCATTCTTTCGGGCATATCATGACCTGAACTTGGTACCCTGAGCCATTAAAACCAAACCAAGGCCACATGTCTGGACGCTTGTCACCTAGAGTTACCGGAGCGAGCGCCTTCTGTGCTCGAATTGGTCGTGCTGGACTCAGCGCTGGCATCTAGGCAAGTGAAGCAAGGATGGTTCGAAGAACAGGCATAGAACCGAAGTCAGAACAGAGACTCGCAGAACAGCAGTTGTGGTACGATTAAAGTAGATCATCAAACGCATCGGGAAGTGGAAGAAGAGGCAGACTAGTCACAGGAGTAAGCATCTTCCGGCGGAAGTGGTGATTTTATCAGCCGGAAGCTTGCCAGACGGAACTCGGCAGTGTGCTTCTGACTAGAGCACTCGTTGGTGCTACTGCTGTTGTACATCTTCGCATCAACTGGGCTGAAGGTGCACGTTGCCTTCTGCTTGGTAATTACTGACCTTGCATACGGCTATCTTCACTGGCAAATGCATCGGCACCGAAGCCTCTGGAAACACATCCACTCCCTGCACCATGAATACAAGGAGACGTTTGTTACAGCAGCTGAGCAGCACGAAGTCTGAGTGTACCAAAGCTGCAGGGCTTAAAATTGCCTTTAAAATGTCGTCCAAGGTTGGCCCTCATGTTCAATTCATGGAATTCCTCTCAGTGTTCACCTTCGGGGTGTTTGCTCCAGCTGCTTGCGGTGCCCATCCGCTGACTTGTTGGGCACTGGGCTTGGAGTTCGGAGGGATCAGTGATGTTTTGCAATGCTGTAGTGGTGCAAGGTGTGGTATATCTTGTTCACCCAGATGAGCCTTGAGGACGGAGTCCGAGCTGTTTCAGCGTCCTCTCCTGCCTGCTCGAAACTGCGAGGCCCATACTGGTTGGCGACAAACTCCGCTCGGCTATTTGATGAACTTGTTGACATTCGGTAACTTCGGTGGCAGCATGCAACTTGGAACGAACTTACTGTTGCAATCACTGTGATTCGAAAGACACAGATATGTTCTGGGTACATGGGGAGGCACCATCATTTGCACCACGCAGTTGTTTGGGGCAACTATGCGCCGTTCTTGACATACCTTGACCGGCTTGTCGGCACGGAAGTGGAGGATGTCGGCCACCAGGCCATCGTCTGCAAGTTTCTGCCAAACCGAAATGGTGAGTTTTCTGCATGCATTTCGTAGTGGTACACTTCAGGTCTTGCCAGATGCACCACAGGTTACGGGTGATGCAGCTCCCCACGCGGCTGTTGAGGCTAGGGTGCCGCATCAGACTCTGAGTCGTACTCGGAGCAGAACAGAACTCAGAGTAACTGACCGACTATGCTAAGGAGCTCAGCATTGGGACAGGCTGTCGACATAGTCATAGGCTCATAGGCCCTCGTGGTCGATGTTTCGCTGGGGGGAAACAGAACGCGAAGGGGAACTGGAAATTCACCTCAAAGCTCAACGTGGCTTTAGATGACCTAGGGTAGGGAGGCCCGGTACGCATCCAGGTCTTGGAGACCACGCTGTACAAGGAGGTGGGTTGGTCCTGAAGCCTGCAGCCTTGACTTTGCCATTGGCGGGGGGACCTTGCAGGTAGCCTTTCAGGCTAGCCGCGAAGCAGCCGCTGCGCCGAGATTGGAGGAGCAGAAGGCCGGCACCAAGCTGCCAGCATGGCTTAGCATTGGTCATATGCACAGATGAATTTGCAAGGTCCTCCACTTAATGGGATCTGCTGCACGCACCCGAACGCCGCCGCCACGAAAGCTTGACTGAGAGGCTTGGCCCGGCTTGGCTCAAAACAGCAGGCGCAGCAGCCCATGCACAACCACGCAAGGTAACGTGCGGACAAAGCGCTGCCGAAAGCTGGTTGGGCAGAGGGCGAGTGCCAGTCGGCGAAAACCGAAGGGCAGTCGTCTCGTTGCGCCAGCATTACAAGTGCATCGCTTCTCCAAACCTGAGCCGGGTGTGCGGAGTGCAGGCACTGGGGCGCTTTTCCAGCGCATGTCTCTGAATGCAGGTCCGCTGAGAGCTTTTTGCGTACCTGCCAGCACTCCAACACATTTTGTTTGGAGGCAAAGTGCGTACAACAAGGGGCAGCTGGAGATTGTGAGAGGTCGGAGATCACACAGACCCCCAACAAGCTCCTTCACTCTCCAAGTATATTCCCATCATCACTTGCAGTTCTGTCAACAAACCCTTCACCTGCAGTTCCGTGTCATTCTGTTCTGTTTGCGCCCGTTGTGTCTTCAGCCGCTTTGGCCCGCTAGCATCTGCCAATCAGGAAGACATGAAACACGCAGCCGTCAGAGAACTCGAAGTCTCTCGCAGTTAAGCAGCAAGTTTCCGATGCACGAGGAGCTCGTTCGATTCTTCCGTCTCAACACTAGGAACTAGAATGCAGCGCGTGAAGTGTCCTGCATGACAAGTTTGTCGGCGTGGGGAAGTCTGGGCCTGAATTTCGATTGAGATCTCTGTAAGTTTCGATTCGTCCCAAGGTAATGCGTGCATCCTCCCAGCAGGGGGAGCCATCACTTGGACAAGTGATGACGACGAGGCTTCAGCTCATGCTCGCAGGAATCACACATGTGCATGTTGCACTGGAATCTAGATTCTAGATTCTCGCGGTGCCCCTTGGAAACCCGGTTTCCTTGCCGTCACAAGAATCCAGAAGTCTTGTTGCGCCACCAGCCACAACTGTGCCGCCATGTCAATAGGGAGTGGTTTGCCGGAAGGCATGTCATGCCAAGCTTCTAGAAGTCTGGCAATTCAGTTGAGATTTGCTTCTTGCAAGCAGAAACCGGTGGGTGAGAGAAGAGACTTTGTGGCAGGCCTGCAGAAGGAGGGACCCATCTGGCACATCGACTGGCCTCGGCCCTTGAACCCTGCAGTCGCTTTACTGGTAGCATGTCAGCACGTTCCGATGAAATGCTTCGAGGCAGAACTACGTGAGCAGCTACAGAACTCTGCTCTGTACCGCCCGGGCTCTGGCAAACGTGGGGATCCTCGGGAGAATTCCTGCGAGCTGGAAGGGCGGAAGGACCTCTCGCATGAGGTCAATCTCGCTCCGAAAGGGACGAGCGGCGTCATGACCGAGAACGCCGTTTGCACGATCGAGTCGAGCGACAAGAACGTCACCCCGGTGGCGCCTTCGACCCCTACTCACGCCAGAGCTTTGACCAAGGCACCGGATCAGTGCAAGGTGAGTAAGAGGTGTTGCTCTCTTTTACTGTTGGTGGCTGCATTTTCGCAAGATGAGTGTTGTGAAGCCCTGTTCGATTTACCCCCCGCCTCCAACACACGGACTTGTGCCTGCGGAATTGGTGGAAGCTCTTGGGGTTAACGATCGTGTGCCATCAGACTGCGTCACGTCGTAACTGGAAGAGATTCGGCCAGAATGTTGCAATGATGTATTATGTAGGTGTCGGAGGCGTTCATGTCCTTGGCCACGAGGTATCGGAAGGCATCGACTGAAACTTGCAGCTTGCAATAGTGCATGAAAGGCTTCGGTTCAATCCGGCAAAGGTGCGACATAGGAGTTGCAAACCTTAATTCCTTGAGATTCGTGCTCTTACTGCCTGTGTCGGGACTTCAATCCTCGCTGGATCGAGCAGGGGTGAGCGATTAGTAGTGGGGTTGGCATACCGTGATGTCTTTGCAGGTCACGCTTCCATGACGAATGGAGTCTGACACCCAGCAATTCATGCACAGATGGTGCCACGGAAGTGTTCTTGCATTGTCACAGGCGTTCTCTCGGATGCATGGCTCATCTCGCCGCCATCGGCGTGCTCCTGAATGTTTCAATCAAAACTTTTGTGCCGTGCAACTCTTTGCCGTATGAGAATAAATCAGCAGGGCACAACCGCGATTGGGCAGCGAGAACTAGCTCCGTCGTAGCCTGCCTTGGTGAGGCCAATAGCCCACATAAATTCCCCTGTAGGAGTCTCGCAGTTCTCACAGCTGATCCTCTACGAACGAGACATGAATGATGTACTGGTGATTTCCACCTTCTGCAGTAGCCATGGTTTTGAGCACTTGCTCAAACTTGGGTCATTGCCCGAACGTTCTTGGCACAGATACTGCGTGGCCTGACAGCCACGAAATCCAGGTCACGAAGATCTGGAGAAGTCGATGGTCGGCATAGGGAGGCATGGAAGCAGGGTTTGGCCTGGTGCAGTCCGAGTTTGTCCAAGAAGCAGCAATGCAATGCCAGGGACGACATCATTCCAGGCGCAGGAAGTCTGCCTTCACTCTGCAGCGGGCTCGGTGTTCGCAGTGTGCGGCGATGCCCGATACTGTAGGGAGGCTTTCGGGTGGAAGAGCAGTCTGCGGTCTTGTGTAGGCAAGAAATCTCGACCATGGCGAGGGGCGAAGCAAGCGGATCTCGGTCCAGGAGTGATGAAAGCCTCGCGGAGCCATGTTTCGACAGCTCTGAGCCCCAGGCGTTGGGATGCCTCCTGGCAAGCGACTGGCAAGAAGGCAGGTTTCCCAAGCTACCTTGACCCTCCGATTCCTGCGTGTTGTCGAGAGGAGGCGCCAGTCTTCACAGTTCCAGAGGACTTGGCATTCAGCTCAGCAAAGCCCTGAGCGTCGGGAAACCGGGGCGGGAAGAAGGCAACATATCCCTCCAAGTACGCCTAATAATGTAGAAACCAGGGGCCTGTAGATCATTCCGGCTGAATTGATTTCGGAGTGGGTTGAAGGAATTCATCCCCGAGGGCCCTGCAGTCTACATTAATGGTTTCCGAAACAACAAAAGTTCTCTGTGTGTGCATGCATACAACTGTGAGTCATCTCCGGGAACACATGTGCTCCCCACACCATCCACCTCGAAGCTGCACCTGGAAACGCTCGGAAGCCTAGGCCTATACACCGTCATACTTGCATAAATCCGCTTTAACCAAAGCCATCGATTCTACATTCACGATCATCAATGCCGCCCGTCGGCGTCAATTTCCATGCGGATGATGATTCGTCCTAGGCCCCGCATCCACTCTACATTTCCGAAGCCACTGAATGCAGAAGTCAGGGGCCCCTTTGCGAGTTGGGTTAGGCCAACAACATCTGTGGTCTTACATTGGCCGGCGGCATGTACCACGTGCAAGTCATGTGGCTCAGCTTAGAACATCACCCGAAGGCTCGCGAATGGCAGGCAAGGCACTTGCATGCCTCTCGTGTGGGTCTCAGCGCAGATGCTGTCCGGCAGTCCATGCTCCCCATTTGACGCCCCGTTGAATGGCAGTCCTTCAGGCAGCCGCAGTCAGCGACGTCAGGAGGGGCAGGCACCAGATGACTCGCCGTTGATTTCTTTCTTTCACTGTTTGCCAAAGCTTTCTCCCGCCCCAGGAGATTCTTGATGGAAAGGCCCATTCGCCTTCTCATTCAGAGATTCGAACTAGCCGTTCTTGTTGGATTGTGTTTTGTCAGCTGATGTACCTCCAGACATGAATGTCCTGCTGCAGGCATTGTGCAAGCATGTTCACAGCATCACTCGACACACAAACACACACGCACGCACACAAAGACAAGACCTGTCTGAATCTGTCTGAGAAAGTGCTTGGCTGTTTCCCCTAAAACGCGCACATGAATACTGCTTCCATTTGCAAAGACTTGCAGAATATTCCAGGATACCTCACACCTTCTGCCATACGACACAGCAGATGGCTGGCATTTCCCATGTGCTTGCGCTTCTGCTGGTCGGGAATGCTTTGGCCAGAAGCTTCGAGGCTAGATACAAGAAAGCAAAGCAGAAGGGATTAACTGGCTATGACCTTATAGATGCTCTGGACGTATGGTGGGGACATCAATCACCCGATTATAACGGTCCCCACAACCAGCTGGACTTCCTTGGAAACCGAGATGGCAAAGTCACGATTGAGGACTGGAGGGCAGCGGGACTACCGGTCGACCACTTCCATTATTTCGACAAGAATTCCAACGGCATCATGGATATCCATGAAGCGCACTCCTGGCATCAGCAGCGCAAGCCGGCGCGAAGCATGAACTTGTCTGAGATAAAGGACCCTCCGAAGGGCCACTTGCAGCCTCTTGGCTCCTGGAAGCCTCCTTTGTCAAGCGAGGGCTTAGTCTACAAAAAGCCATATCCGCATCCGCGTGAGTTTTGGCGGAAGCACATGGACGGCTATCTACCAGCAAATCTCAAGGGTGCTCAGCATGGCTGGCCAGCAATGAATTGGACCAAAGAGGTTTTGAGGGAGAAGTTCGGCTGGGTTGATGCCAAGTTGGAGCCCAAGGCAGCGTGCCTTTCATCAAGCCTTTTTCGTGATTTTTCGTTGTCCCTTGCAGCTCTCTTCGTGCCAGTTGCTGTTCTTGTGCCCTTGTGAATGCAGTGGACGCTGTGTTTCAGGTTGAGGCTCGTGGAAACGACACTGCCTACGAGGCCCTGGACCGTCTTGCGCCATCGCATAGACTGAACGTCTCAGAGTACTTGCGCCTCGAGGCAGGGGTTGTCGGATGTCGCTTGCCCTGCTTCGTGCAAATTTCCTGCAGTCTTGCAGTGATGACCCTGCAGGAAGGCAAGAACATGTATGTGGTTTCGATTATACCGCAGGCGATGGCCTGGGAAGTGGCGCATCCCTCGGTACTGCTTTGTGGATCCAGGCGGAAGCAGCTTGACCGGGAGGCTGGTCCACCCTACAAGGAGACAAAGCACGAGTATCCGCATGAAGCGGGCTTTGAGTGGATGACACACGTCTTCGAGGCAAACCTGTGGATTGCAAGTGGCTACACAAGGTCACAGTTTCACTATGACAAGGAGTGGAATGTAAACTGCCTTCTGTCTGGGAAGAAGCGATGGTTCTTCCTGAACTCGTCCCAGGTCTGCAAGATAGCTGAAATCGTCCACTATGTTTCCCGTGCATTGAGTTTCTTTTTTTGGCTCCGCCGGTGAGAGCTTTGGGTCTTCAAGGGTTCCGGACAGCTTCTAAGACTTTTGTTTTCTTTCGACGATCTGAGAATCCTGGCATGGTCTACTACTGAGAAGTAAGCCTTCTGATTAGCAGGCCTGGTACTTCGCGTGCCGCTACATAGCGCTATCCGTGGGTCTTGCGCTGGGGGAGACAGGGGGATGTAGCTGCAGCTTATCTAAATCGAGGCGAACAGGAAGGCAAAAACATGTCCTCTCCGTGGGACCCCCCAGCAAATACAAGGGCAGTGGTAAGAAGCGAAATGAGCTTCTCGTGCCTCTTGAAAAGCACACAAGAGAAGTGGTTGTTTGCAATTCTATGGTCAACGTGCTGCCATAGGCATTGGCTTGTTCCGTCTTTTCTGCGTAGGCTTTGATGGATTGTAGTAGGTGCAACTCAACCATCGTATTTCCAGCAGCATATCCGCATCCAGCCGAGGTTCACATACGATAAAGAGGTACAGTGGTCAAGGGGGAACAAATTCAATTCTAAAGATCCGCTGAACAATGCGTGGACTGATTGGGTCTACTTGGATCCTGACCGGGTTGACCTGATTGTCCAGAACAAGCTCCGCAACATGGACTACTATGAGCTCATTCAAGAAGCCGGAGACTGCATATTCATTCCGTATGCAATGCTTCATCAAGTTCAGAAGTTGGATGACGGCATGCAGGTTGCAGCTTCTTGGATGTTTTTACCCGAGACGATTTATGAGGAGGACGTTTGCCAGCAAGCGCCTCTCAAAGAGGATCTTCCACTAGCTGCAATGGATACACTATTCATGTACACGGGCAAGGGCCTCATTCCGCAGGGCTACCAGGACCCTTTGAATTTTGTTCGAAAGGTTCGTAGTTACATGCAGAGGCAGGGCGAGGACTACCTAACCTTGAAGACCTTCGCTGCTGCCGTTTCGGATGGCCATGCTATTCTGCGAACACTACCGGACCGCAAGAAGAAGATTAAGGACTTGTACAAACGACTGACTTCGCACCTTGGCTGCAACACAAACTGAATCACATTCGTGAAAAGCCGTGAAGTCTGCCCAGGTATGCTGCCAATCCGAAGAAGGGCCTTACGAAGAAGGAGTTGAGGAAGGTACCCCTGCGCTTGTGGGCAAAGCCTGCAGCCGAAGGCGATGACGAGGGGCCGCTGCAGCTCGCACGAACAGCCAGACGTAGACGTGGCTTGTGAATGTGCCGCGACAGTCAAGCGCGTGTCCAGCCAAGGCCATGCGACCACGGACCGGCGCCCAGTAGTTCAGCACAGTGGCGCAGAGTTGTGATCTTCATTCTTGCAATTGCTCTCCTCTGAGGACAGGAGTATCAGGAATGCAGCGACGAAGAATTTGAGAAGATGACAAGCTTTGTCCAGAGCAAGCTGGGTGAGGGCAATCCTATTGATGCTGTCTCGAAAGAGCCGGTGCTTAATCGCCGTATTTATCCGCATGCTATGCGGACAGAGCTCTGATGAGTTGTAAGTGCGGATGCGTTTCACAGACGAGGTTCCAGTTCCGGCAGCCTGGCAGAAAGCAGGCTTCTAGATCGCGCGTCAGCGTGCCAAAAGATAGTTTCCATGAAAACTCTTCGCTTGTCTGTTTGCCCAGGGTCTGGGGCGTGCTTATGTCTTTTCTTTCGCGAAGCAGGATGGAAGTGGCCGCTACAAGCGTGCTGGCTATGGTGGCTATGGCTACGGCCGGGGTCAGGTTGGGTTTCAAATCTGTACATCCGGGCCTGTTTGCGGCTGTTTCCGAAGAGTCTTCGCGCATCGTTCAGGAGGGCGAGGCACCAGCATCATCAGCCCAACCACCGCGCGTGGAAGAAGCGCCACAGGAGGTGGAAGACACCATTGAGGAGGAGGAGGAAGAGGAAGAGGAGGAGGAAGAGGAGGAAGATGATGATTTCGCGGAGGATCCGACACTGGACCCGCAAGATCACAGACACCGAGAGGAACACAGGCTCTTGCAGGAGCGGCTGAAGCAAGCACAGCAAGAGCTGGAGCAGTCCAGGCAGCAGCAGGAGGATATACGCAAGGACCCTGCATTCCGAAACGAGGCACGGCGCAAATGCAAATGTATGGACTTGCCGTGGCATTGCAAATGTGTGAAGGTTGCACACCCGGGGCAGTCGGCAGAGCCACAAGCACCAGTTTGCTCCTTATCCTGGTGACCGTAGAGTCGCTCGGCTTGAATCCGGCAGCTTCTGTGAGGACTTGGCAGAGTTCAGCTTGGACGAGGAGGATGACGAGGCTTCCCATTCTTTGCAATTGGAACTCCAGATACCAGTCGCCTCCAAGATTGAGGCTGAAGCTGAGGGAGATGATGGTGATGAAGGCCAGTTGGCACCACGTGGGCCCGTGGGCTTGTTGTCCACTCTTTTGCCTCTCTGCAGGTGGATCGGTGGCTGATGAGGTAGCGCGACACTCAGTTGGCCAGCCCGGTCTCTGCATCTGCATACTATGGGTTGGCTCATGGCTCCTTGTCGCCGATGCACCTGAGGCTCATGAAGATCCGTACGTTGATGCCTTTGAGATGAACGATTCTGATGATGAGGGAGAGATGTATCGGGCTGCTCCTTCCCCAGCATCTGCGGGGTTTGTCTTACCATCGGATTTATCAACCACACACCCTCCTGGATGCTGATTCCGAGGCGCTGGAGAGGGCCGCAAGACAAGCAGGCAAGTTCGACAGCCATGCTGCTATTCGCCAGTAGTAGTAGTCGTCGTCGTCGTGGTGGCGGCAGCACCGCCATTCGAGACTTGACAGGTGACTCTGAACAGCAGGCCGACTCCTCCGACGCATCCCCTGATTCCGAGGTCAGCTTGTTGGGCGTTCAGGCTTATGCTCACGGCTTGTCTTCACTTTTGCAAGGCGCCCGAAGCGCCGGAGACGGTCCCAGGCTGGGGTTGCACGGGAAAGTTCAGACCAGACTGATGCCTGCTGTCGAATATATTGACCGCTCTTGATGGCTCGAGCAGCAGTATGAGGTGCGAGTCGAGTGTCTGTCGAACATCTGTTGCACACACGTCATGGACATCTAGCTTGGCAACAGCGGCTGCAGCGACAGTAGTGCCAGCAGCAGTAGCACATTAGCTGGGCTCAGCTTTCGCTTTCACTCCTCAGGTCAGGCAGTTTTCCAGTAGTTGTTGCTTCTCACCCCCCAAAGATGGATGATTCACCCGGGCTCTAATAGTTGGAGCAACGGAGCATGGGCGGAGTTGCCCGAGGAGCAGAACACCATCCCGGATCCTGAGGAGAACTTGCGATCGAGACGCATCCAAGCGTATTTGCGAGGTGAGATACTGGATCCCCTTACTGAGGCAGACGAAGGCACAGAGGTGAAAGGCGAGGCTGAAGTTATCCATCGTCTGTTCACCGATGAGGAGCTGCTAGAATGGACGGCTGAGCGGGCCGTCTCGTGGATTTTGGCTGCAAACAACGCTTTTGAGATCCTGGGGCTCCCAGTGTCTCTTGAGCCGGACGTCGCCTCGCTGCGCCTTCGCTACCGAAAGCTCTCTCTCCTTGTCCATCCGGATAAGAATCCAAAGAATCCGACGGAAGCCTCTGATGCTTTCCAGCGACTCTCGGAGGCTTCGCGTGTTCTCATCGACGACACGGAGCGGCAGAATCTCTTGAACACTCTGGAAGCGGAGGCTTCGGAAGGACACCACTTCGCAGCGGAGCGCCAGATGAGCCAGGCCCAGGCAGCCGAGGAGGAGCCCGAGGCCTCCGAAGAAGCGCTGAACGAGTCCTTCCAGAAGCGGGTTCTGCAACATGGAAAGCTCCAACAGCTTTTGCGTCAAAAGAAGAGGAAGACGACGCATTCTCCCGTTCGCGGGGCTGGGGCTGGGAATGCAGGCGGTCGTTCTTCGTTAACGGAGCAGTGGCAGCGCATGGCAGCCGCTGCGGCTCCTGCGCCTGTTGTGCCGGCTGTGCCGGCTTCCTCGATGGCTTCAAGTCGCGTGCCCAACGTACAGGACGTGTCTGCGTCACCGGAAAGCTTGTGGCAGCAAGGTGGCGACGCCGCCCTGACACTTGCAGGTTGGCGGCGGCTGGAGAGCCGTCGTGTTCCTGGACAATTCTACTTTGCTCACTTGGCAACAGGACGTACCGTGATGCAGGCAAGCTCATCACGACCCATCCAAAGTACAGAACATGTATGGGAAAGGCGACAAAGTCGTCACGACCCGTCTGTACATTACTATGTGAACACAGCAACCGGTGAGACGCGTATGGAAGGTGAGCAGACGGAAAACATATATCGGGCCGTCTCTGTGGTATTCAACCGGAATATGAATGCCTGCAGACTTTTGGGGTGCCAGAAGAATCGAACAGGTCGCAGGCCAGAGCTCCCGGGTCTTCCTGCAGTCATCATGTGGTGTGTTGATGCACGCTTAAGCGCAACTTTTTCAACTATGTTGAACCAATGGTCCATGTTGCAAAAAGAGCAGAGCATCTGTCGGAATCACTGTACCTGGTAAGGAGTGCAGAAGGAATAAGGGGCTCCCCTGCTAGAAAGTGGCGATATCCAGGGTTCTTCCTGCCGAGAAGTCTCACTCTTATCCTTCTCGTAAAGCGGCTCTGCAAAGCCCAGGCGGGCAGATGCCTTCGGAGGCACGACCTTCGGTGGTGTTCTGGGGCGATTTCTCGGTCACTCGCCGCACGCGCTTCGAGGCGAAGCCCAAAGTCCCAGACGCCGTAGCGGCCGTGGCGGCCACAGCGGCCACAGCTTCGGCGGCAGCTTCGGCAGCGCCTTCGGCAGCGCCTTCGGCTGCGGCGGCACCGGTGCCACAGGCCGAAATCCTTCGAAGCGACACGAAGGGATAGCTCCTTTTCTGATCCACTGCATGGCATGGGCCACATCAGGTGATGCGGAAACCGGATGCTCCACAAGTGAAGCCACCAAATGCTTGCATCCGAGCATTCCCGGATAAAGCTTGGCTTGGGGATGACGATTGTTGATTTCGTGCTTCTTCGGGCCGCTGAGGCGGAGGCCAGCACAACCACTGAGCTCAGGCGGGAGGGAGCTTCTGCAGAGAACCTGTGATAACATTTTTGGTTGGATGCCTCTTGTCATTGTCAGACCTGTGATGCGTGCAGTGGAAGTGTCTTTGCCTCGGTGTACGCGAGTTTTCAATTTTTGCTTCTTGTGGAGATTTCTGTGGAAAGTGAACTGCAGAGCACGAGGCGACAGGCACCTGCTCCACGCAGCACGCCACCCACTCCCAGCACCCCAAGCCGTGGAAATGCCAACAAGAAGCCACGAGCCGTGGGCTTGGATGCTTGTGTAAGCTGCAAGATGATGGCAAGATTTCAGCCAGGTCGTCAACGACTCAGCTCTTGTTGCGGGCTGGCATGAGCTCCTAGTACGGACGCTTGGGCCCCAACATGTGCTTTTGGCTTTGTGCTCTTGCATGTTTTGAGAAGAGCGCCGAAACAACAGGCGGCGTCACCCTGACTTCCCCGCTGAGTACACTTCGTGCTTTGGCACGGTGGGTCTGCCACCAAATACGCTCGCAGCGAGACTTCGTGAGTTGGTGTTGGTGTTTCGCGACTGTTGAAGAGATTTGTTGAAGGTAGAAACTGGGCGAAAGCAACGCGCTCGCGGCCGAGCATGGTAGGGTTGTGACTATGACCCGGCAAGTGCTGCGGTCTCCCAAACCCTCAGCATGCAAGCATGATAACCGTAGTCTGTACCAGCCGATAACCAGCCACCACGAAAAATGTTACGCTGCTGCTGCTGCTGCTGCTGCTGCTGCTGCTGCTGCTGCTGGGTACCACTGCTACCACTGCTACCACTGCTACCGCTGCTACCACTGTTCGCACTGCTACTGCTACTACGACTACTACGGCTACTACTTACTACTGCTGCTACTGCTACTACTGCTGCTACTACTACTACTACTACTACTGCTACTGCTACTACTGGTACACTGCTACTACTGCTACTGCTGCTACTGCTGCTACTACTGCTACTGCTACTACTGCTACTACTGCTACTGCTACTACTACTACTACTACTACTACTACTACTACTACTACTACTACTACTACTACTACTACTACTACTGGTACTACTACTGCCACTACTGCTACTACTGCTACTGCTGCTACTACTGCTTCTGCTGCAACTGCTGCTACTGCTGCTACTGCTGCTACTACTGCTACTCCGCTACTACTGCCATTGCTGCTGTGCCACAGCTGCTGCGCAAGTATCACTCTTCTGCTTTCCTGAAGACTGTGCGATAGATAGCTGGTAGCTGCTCTAAGGCGCCAAGGGCCGATTCGTCCTGGGAATCGACTGTGAGATGGTTTATGCCAAGGCCGGGACGGGACTCCTCTGAGACCTCAGAGCCAGAACTCAGAACTCCCAATCGATGCTACACGCAGCACCAGCCGGAATGGTTGAATAGCATTCATCAGGGCATTAGTCATCGTGGCAGAGTCTTGATCGTATCGTCCTCTCTCTCCCAGGATGACAAGGATGCTCTGGCGCGAGTGTCTGTGGTGAGCTGTTCTGGTGTCATCTACGATGTGGGGGCCCCGGTCTTCGAGGTGCTTTTGTGTTGGGTGAAAGGATAAAAACAGGGTTTGGGTTTAGGGGAAGATGCTACACCGATCTTAATAGTTTCTCGAACTCTGCTGTGCTTCAGATGAGATGCAACTTGTTATCGCATTGCTGCAATGATGAGCATCCCACACCATCCTTCTGAGGCTCATGTTCAGAAGCGAGCGGAGGATGCCTCTGACTTATTTGAACTTCGAACGTTTCGGTTCCAGCGGTGGTGAGCTCGCCTGGAGGTGTTGGACTACCGCACTCGGATCTCTGGAGTCGAGCACCAACCTCGGTGGCATGGTGCTGTTGGGAAAGTCTGGCTGAAAGCTTCTGTCCCAGGGCGCACCACCTCCTTGCGGAAAATGGAGTCTGGCGCTCAGCCTGGAAGCCCGTAGGCATGGAAATGGCATGTGGTGTCGGGTTGGGGGTTTCGCGTCACAGAGTCAAAGCCTCAAAGAGAGGCACGAAGTAAAGCAATACGGAGGTGCAGGATATGTCCTGTGTCCTTGATGACCTTTCGAGACCAAGGCACTGCCCTTTGAGCAGGTTCAGCGTGAGGCCACGCTCTTACCCTTCGGCTACGTCTCTGTTTTAGAGTTTCCACGATACATGCACACCATGACATGTGGGTTCTCTAAGCTTGAGCGTCGAAGCTTTAACATTGCATGTAAACCTTCAAGCTAAAGCCTTGAGTATTATGTCGCTGACGTGACAATGACTATGACTGGCACAGTCCACGATGCAACAGTCGTAGACTTTGATATGTGGGGCACTTGACCCGCCTTCGTTCGAAGTTCGGAATTTGAAGGGTTTCATGTCGCAGCACATGCTCTCGGGAGCAAGCTGTCTATCTCGGATCGAGACCTACACCGATTCTGGACAGTGCCAGTCTTGAGACAGCAATGTGACCGTCTGCGCGGTAGTGAAAGGCAAGCAAGGACCGGAAGCTCTGAGACTTGTGGGCTGCATGGAGTTTCAGCACTTGGTTTCTTGAGACCACTGCCCTGGGTGGCATGAACACACATACGGCGGCGAGTCAGAATACAGTTCCTTGCTAGCATCTCTGTGGCTTCTTTCGATACCTTAGTGGAAGCAGGTTCGTTTTCTTGATCGAATCTGCGGTACAGCTCTGATAACTGGGTGATGATAAACTGGTGATGATCTAACGTTGAGGTGGGTGGTCACAATGCTTTCATGTCCCATTATTTTGTCATTGCTTTCCCATCTACTTTCCAGTTTTCTACCGGTTTGTCTCTATGCTTCATGTCTTCACTATTTTCTCAGTCTTGTCTAACCGTCTCTCCAGAATTGGGTTCACCACTAAGTTTTCCCGACACATGTTGCTTACACAGTGATTCGGAAGATGACAGTGCCAAGCAAGGGCTTCGTGCCGCTCGAAAGCTTAGCCGTGGACACGCCGCAAGTTTCCGAGGTACTAGACCTGATCTCTGTGGAGACTATTCTGGTGGGTCCTGAACTTAGCTGCAGCGGGAAGCCGGAAGTATAAGATTTACAAGAATGCCCGAATCTGCAGCTGTCTAAGGTCACTCACTCCACAAGGCGCCAGCCACGATGGTTTCAGGGTTCTTAGCGGCGACTGGTTAATGTTCAGTTGCAGAGCATGTAGTTCCAGTGCGACAGTACTTTGACGATCGTCAGATGGCTGCAGGATCTGCGTGCACTGAAAATTCAGTGCGTGGCCCAGTGTTCCACCACGGCAGATTTGGATTGATCTTTTATTCATTCGCTTCCTGTTGCTGCTGACGACTTCCGCCGAAAAGACCGGTTGTCGATCGCTAGTTCCGTGTGTGCAATACCAGTTGTGATTGTCCGGCCGTTGCATTACATTGACTACATTGACTACATCTCCACACGATGAAGGTAGCAGGTTGCCGCAGCTGTGTCTTGAGGCACGGGAAAATCGTGGATACCGCCCTCATTTTTGCAGTTGAAGGCTGCCACGAAGGATATCCTTCCGACCAGACTTTCCGACCTGCAAAGTCGGTTTTGTCAGGCGGCAGCCAACGAAGACGGCACAAGCTCAACAGCTTGGTCACGCTGATGAGGCCAAAGGCCGCGGACCCAAAGCGTTACTGTCGGAGGTGCTCTGAACCATGCCATGGCTGCAAGTTTTATGGTCCCGGTGTTTTGGCTCACATGTGTGTATGCATCGCAAGGCAGATAGTGCGAGTAGACAGTCCTTCTTTTGGAAATGCACATGAATAGTCTTATACACACCTTTGTACCTCTGTGCTCTAACTATCCATCCATCTCACCATGCATCTATCTGTCTTTACGTGTTTTTTCGTCTTTCTGTTTTGCTGTCTATCTGTCTGTCGGTCTATCTGTCTATCTGTCTGTCTATTCATCTGTCTTCTTGTCTATCGACCTGTCTGTCGTCTGTTTTCCTGTTTGTCCGTCTGTCTGTTCGCCTCTCTGTCTGTCTGTCTGTCTTTCTCTGTCTGTCTGTGTATGTGTCTATCTGTCTCTGTCTATTTGCCAATCTCTGTCTATTTGTCCATCTGTCCATCCATCCGCCTATCTGCCTGTCTGTCTATCTGCCCTAGTATCTACCTAGCTTTCTGATTACCTGTCTACCCATCTATGTAGCTGACTATCTGTCTATCTACCAAGGTTCCTGTCACACCTGTCTATTTACGCCTACGTTTCTCTACGGGCATGAGCACGCTTACGAAGTTGGTAATATTTCACAGTATGTGTCACTTCGTCAGTAAGTGCAGAATGAGATATATCCTGTACATACATGCATGTACGCGCATGTGTACAGACTTGTAGACACATAATTACGGATGGCATGAACATTTTGCCCGGCATTTTGCGAGCAGCAATAGCTAAGTTAGCAGGGTTCGTTCTGGGAAAACGTACAGCAGTAGCAGCAACGCTTATGATGTGGGGGCAAAATACTTATATTCCGCGAGCACAGTACTTTCGAGGTTTGGCGAATGTCGCGAAGAGCTGTTGAATCTTCCCATTTCGCTCTGAAAGAAGCCTTGGTCTACCTGGCACCACCAGCACTCAAACCCAGAGGCAACAGAAACCGACCAGGGAGTGCCAATCCCTAAACACCAAATGGCGACAAAGGCTAGCCAGTGCTTCCTTCTGTGCCCACCCGCCTGCAACGCTGCGTCAGGTGGCACACGAAGCCGCTACAGGATGTCAAATGGCGGGCCAGCCCTGGGGCACCGGGCTGTGGGAACGGGAGTCGTGGCAACCTATATCCCCGTCGCGACGTGAATCAAGCGCAAAGACGGATGTAGGAGAAGAGGAAGAAACCATAAGATGTTTTGCAGTTCTTGCGAGAGTGCCATGTTGTTGTATCGCCTTCTGCAGTAGCATGTTGAAAGCAAGAACTGCAACGTTTTGTATCGAGGTCATTCATTGAGAACAGAAGAAGACTAAGTCAGAAGAATAAGACCAGGAGAGATTGAATTTCAATGTTTTTTGCAGGCTTCCCCCAAACCTAACCTTGCTTATGCCGGGTTGGCTTGTGCTGGAAAAGGTGGACCCCTGGGGCGGCACAGAGTCGTGAATGACCCGAGGAGCAGCCCCTTTCCCGCTCCTGGTGGCACTAGGGCGATGGTGCCACACAGTATTGCACAATTTTGAGGTATTGTTTGCTTTCATGCTCTTGCAGCCAGCAAAGCTGTGGGGACGCCTCCGTCGTTGCACGCTCCTTGTTGGAAGTTCGGTGACTACGGCCGAAACCACAGGGAATCACTTGCCTCTACTGGTGTGGGTGTATGCAGAGTAGCTGCTCGATCTCGTGGTCGGTGGCAATACTGATACTTCTCAGCGTCATGTTTTCTGCTGTTGTGCAGCGGCTTGGGTCTCCGGCTGGCTACGGCTTTTCTATGGCCTTGCAGAAATTGCGACTTGGACTCATGTGTTGACGCTGCTACGTGATCGCTGATCCTCTTCTAGTCGCTGGCCACCAGGCCAAGTTTCAGTCTATCTTAATGGCTACGGCGTGTTATGAGTATCAGGTGGCAGTCTTTCCTCCCGGTTGTGTGTTCGCCATCAGTGCTGGAGCAACAATGCTTCCTCTGCATCTGGCGCACGCCTTGGGTCGCCCCTGTACGAACCCTCTGTGCCCTTTGTTTGCACATGGAAGTTGCAGGCCGACATCTCTAAGCGCATCAGGTACCTGCAGGCCCTCGGGAATTCCTCCGTCTTGTGGTAATGGTTACTATGGCAGGCAGACCTTTGCGACCGCCGCAAAATTCTTCTATCCCACGACACTCGTTTTCCCTGCACGCACTTTCTCGGGATTTTGGTTTATTCCGACTTCAATTTTCTTCCTGCCGGTGCTTGCTCTTCTTTGCCCGGGGCCATTGCGCTTGCGCCCCGCTTGCAGCGTAGCTCTCCGAGGTAGAGACAACGGGTGCCCGCCTCCTTGCCGTGACATGAACTTGCGTTTTTTTGTTATCTGTCTGTCTGTCTCTCTCTCTCTCTCTCTCTCTCTCTCTTTCTCTCTCTCTCTCTCTCGCTCTCTCTATTTTGCAGGCTTCCGGGCAGACCGAGAGCTCGAGTTGTTATCCTGATTAGTGGTTGTCGTAGTAGCAGAGTAGTAGCATGCTACTGCTTCTGCTATGTGTATAGTCACCACTACTGCGACTAATGACTAGTGCTTCTGCCGATATAGGATATAGCATGTGTGGTTACATGCCCCGATCGGCATCGTTTCCGGGCTGCTCAGGTTCCAACACTCCAGCCTGTACGTCCCGGGGCACATGATCCTCGTCAGGCGAGAAGCCGTTTGTTGGAGAGCCCCTGCGAACTGTGTCTTCAGCTCCTCAGCCTTGCCGGAAGTCGTTCTTCAATTAGTCCTTTGTAGGACCTTCCCCCGACTGCCTCGCCTATGCTTTGTGCAGGATGCACAATGGGCTCTGCAGCTGGCGCTGTACGAGGCAACTTTGAGAGTTTGCTTCGAGAGGCTCGAGAAGAGACCCCAACGTAGGCTTCTATCCACCCTGCGACTACCAAGCCTCTCAAGCCGGGCGCTCAAGCAAACGCCTCCTCCGTCAGCGGAAGGTTGAAGGCTGGAATTCCTTCTTTTTCGCATGGTGCTTGGCTCCGAGGCTTTTATCTTTTCCAAAGACCATTTTCCTCAGTGAGATTCCGAAGGGGACATCTGCCAAGGCTCGGAAATCCAGCATCTCAAGCTGAAGATAGGTCTAGTTTTTCGCATGTGCTTTCTTGTGCTGACCCGGCAGGAGCTGCAAGCTTTTTTCGCTCATGGCACATGTGCGGAGGCACTGGCTGTAGTTAGGTTGCGATGGCGTGGCTGTTGCGAATCAAGTTGCAGCCCCTCTCTTCTGAGCATGTAAGTTGAAGCATGGTCAGGTGAACTTCCACCTCCAGTCAGATACATCTAACTGGTTGGGAACAACCACAGTCACTTTTCTTTCGCAGGCAAGTGCATGTTCCCCTGCGTCGTTTGTTCCTACTCGGACCACGGCAGGCAGAACGCGACAGAGCGTTTACTGACTTGCCTCGTTTCGCAGCAGCCCCAGCTTTGCAAAAGTCGATGTGCCTGCTCTTGGTCGGGAATCTCCCTGTGAGGTGCGTGTCTATGTTGGCCCCCTGAGAGATTGGGCTGGCAGGACAGGGAGACGCTACGGGCTATGGTCGTTGTCAGGACTTGTCAGGTCAGGTGTCTCCAGGTAGGCAGGAGCCCGACCCGAATGGAAGGTGCCAAACAAGCAATGCCTCTTCTTGTAGGACCGACACAGCAAAGATGCAGGCCTCTCTTAAGGAGCACTTCCTGAAGTTTGGTGGGCACCCAGGGTACCATCAGAGTATGCGCGAACATCAGGACTTAGTTCTGGTGAGCTGAATGCATCGGGATTGCTTGGCAATCGATGTTCATTCTGAGGCCGAGTTCGAAGTTGTCGGGTGATGGTTCCGAGGGGGTTCTCGTGATTGTCTCAGCCGGCGGCTGCTTGACTATGATCAAGGCTTCGTACATGTTGAAGCTGCAAGGTCTGCCCTACCGTCTGGCTTGCTGGAATGCCATCCTACGGCTGCAAGGGTGGTGCTTACCAACAAGCAGGTGTGGCGTCTGCACAGATTCCCACTGGCTCCCCCTTGCCTGCAAGAGCTGCGCACGGCAACGGGGCAAGCACGGAAACTCTGACGGGAATTCCTCGTCGGCAAGTACCTTGCAGTTTAGCTCTAGGTCCAGGAGTCCAGGTGTTCCGGTGTTCCCGCAGGCGCTGGTTCAAGGCAGGATGTTTGTGCTAGGGTGCCAGGGCCTTGGGCCAAGCTAGGCCTTTTAAAGCTTGCGATGCGATGGACGGCCATCGCCCGGAACTTTGCTGTCCGCTTTTGGCTTTCTCATCATCGGGTGAACTCCCTGAAGCCGCACCCAGGTATTTCTGCTTGAAAGAGTCGCGGCTGCGGACTCGACCGAGTCGTTTGTGCGAGACCTTCTCGGAAGGAGCCAGGCATGCTTGCGACTTGCATGGAGCACTGAAGCGGTTGGCTGCTTGTGCTTGATTTCGAGAGGCCGAGGTCAACCGAGAGCGAGAGCTTGAGGCAGACCTGGAATGGGAGCTTTGCGACTTTTTCCCGTTTGGACACCGGCCCCCGTCGCAGGCCACGTTTGCCAACTTCGACCAAGATAGGCGCGGCCTTTTTTCCCTTTCTGGGCTCTGAAGGATGCTTTGAAGCGGGCTTGTGCTCAGGGATGGGGAGTTGAATCACAGCGAGCCCGGGTCCCAGCTGCACGAAAGGACGAAAGAATGTTCCTCCATGTCGAGCGCTCGAGGTCCTGGGCCTGGTACCGGTTCCTGGATGAGGATGGCCAGGCCAGGGGTGCAGAGGACAGAGGCCAGGTTTGAGGCAGTGCAGCACGAGGATTCCGACGTTTCGGAGCAGCACCAAGCCGCCTTCCTCGAGTTCGACCACGACCAGAACGGCAGGTTCTCTCGCACGGAAGTCTCGGAGCTACTCTCCTGCATGGACAAGGCGGGAGACGCCGAAACCCGCTCCTCCGATCCTCCTGTCCTGTTGACAGGTGGAAGCATTGCAGGAGGCAGCAGCCATGGAGGAGGAGGAGGAGGAAGACTCCGAGTCTGATGCGGAAGAAGAGGAAGACGGATCCGAAGAAGAAGACGAGGATTCGGAGGAGGAGGAGGAAACTGAAGGGGACACAGATGATGACGTAGAGGACCAGTAGCAGCAGCACGCGAAAGGGCAAGTAGCCTGGACCCTTCGCTGTGCTGGCCCTCTGAATGCAACGTAACCGCAGTTTCACCCAGACAAAAGAAAGGAGTCGACCCTCCGAGGAAACAGCCGGTCCATGGATGTGTGCTCACGAGTGACCTGCTCAAGTCCAGCAGAGAGCTGTTTTGACAGGCGCAGTCCTTTCCGGGGCATCGATCGCTCTTCAAAGTCAGCCTTGCAGAAGCAGAGGCCAACGAGACCCGATGCAGCGATCTCAGAAAGAGTGGGGTGGGGCCCGCAAGAAACTGGGTAGCCTGGCCCTGGCTCAGAAAGCTCAGGTGCGGTGCCTTTGTCCAAGAACGGATCCTTCTTGGCACGACTTGGCTGATGCGAGTGCAAACAGAAGCAAAAACGTAAGCAACATGTACATGCTGTACCATTCATCGATTTAAGTTGCTGTTTGCTACACAGATCAGCAGAGACCGGGTAGTCGATGCACAAAGAAGATGTGATGTGTCACCAGCAGCCCAAAGGATGTGGGATAGAATCATCTTTGCGAAGAGAGGGAAACACGTCTTGGCTCGTCTTGGCTCCTCTTGTTGCTTGTGTCGGACCTGTGACGACCACGGAAGTCGTACAGCAAGGCTCTTGCCGGTTGCCTCCGCTGCGAGGCATCCTCAGAAGCATCGAGCAAAGCGACAACGAAGATTTGCGAAGTGCGGCCGTGGACACCTTGCTGACACTCCTGATTGGTGGGCACTGGGGCTCAGCACAAAGGGCTTGGAGAGGGCTCGGAGACTCTAACTTGCAATGCGCCGCAAGGTGTGTCTTCACTCGATGTCCGGCCAGCTTCGTGGTGGAGGCTGCATCACGCTTGTTTGTTGTGTCGTGCTCTGCTTGTGGCTTTGGGGTTTTGAGAGGCAGGTGCTGTGAAGACCTTGTGTCATGGCCTCAGACTTCGCTGTGAGGCGGCAAGTGGCCCCCAAATGGCCCGCGAGCCCTTGCGATCGCTGCTCGCGGAGGTGATCTTGCCAACGAGACTGAAGATGCTTCGATTTTGGAGGCGGGTTTTCTTGTTTTGGGATGTTTGGGATCTAAGGCATCAGGAACTACAGGTCACTTCTATTGTACGTTCCGCAAGGCTTTGCTCTGGAGAAGCGGGTTGGATTCTCCCCTAGCCAGCCGTGTCTTGTCTTGGCCACCCTGCGCGCAGCTACACTTAGTTCCGTAGTTTCGTTTCGTTTCAACACATCACGAGCAGCTGGCATTGCTTGGTGACCTCCATTGCATTGCTGTGCAGATTCTGCTGGAATTGGTTCGCCTGGCTCCTGAAACAATGCTACCAGACATTGTGGAACAAGGTGCAGGGTGCACCCAAGCCCTAGAGTGCACCCTAAACGCCCTACGAAAGCAGCTAGGTGCCGTGCAAGCTTGCGTGAAGATCCTTGACAATTCAGTGCCGACCTCAGATACTCGCGCTTTAATTTCATCATGTGAGAAACTCCCAGGGGTCGAGCCCGATGGACCAGCTTTCGGCGTCGGTGGCCAAATGTCTGGCATCGTTACTGTAATCGGGTTGTGGAGAAGTTGCCTTGGCCTGCCTTGAAGTGGGGTTCGGGGCATCGCATGTGGTGCAGGCATGCGGGAGCTGATCTTTCTGAGAGTTGAGGATGAAGGGCAACGATTGGCATGGGCTTTAGTGAGAGCACGAGCCTCCACCAACCGGGCCAGCCTCAGATTGCCCCTAAGCCGCTGAACTTTCAACCTGACATCCTAGCCTCAACTTCAATCCCGAACCCCGAAGCCAAAGCCTTTCGCAACCTTTTACAAGGTTGAACCTCCTCTTGGCATTGAGCAAACGAGCTCCTGCACCGGTTGCACAAAGCAACGCCTATGATGTCGTGAAGGCAGGGCAAGTTCAGGGTTGAGGGGTTCTGGGTTTAGCATGTCAAATCTTCGGGTTTAGGGTTTCTGATTTCGGGTTTAGGGTCTGGAATTTTGGGGCTTCGAGTTTAAAGTTACGATGCCCGGTCGGCGTCGCCAGTGCTAAAAGCACCGGAGTGCAGACCCTGAGCCGGACGCCGTACGCGCTCTCCACTTTAGTCTCGACCTGTGCAAGGCTCGGTTTCTTTGGTTCTCTGACCATTTCTCCGGGGAGGTGTATTTATTTTGGGATTTTTTTTTTTTTTTTTTTGCGCATTTTTTTTTTTTTGGCTTGCTTGCGCGCTTGGCTTCTTGGCTTCTGGCTTCTCGGCTTCGGCTGGCTTCTTGGCTTTTCGGCTTCTTGGCTTTTTCACTTCGCAACTTCTTATACTGTCTAGCTTCGAGAATACTGCCTCCTTATGTCGTACAACAACGCGTCAGGGTGGTTTAATGCGAAGAAAACACAATCAGTCGTGAAGGGTTGAAAGGGTTTGTAAATACAACAAAGCGTCAGGGTGGCTTAATGCGAAGTAAACACAATCAATCGTGAAGGGTTTAAAAGGTTTGCAAATGGGGGGGGCCAACCCCCCCGCTTTTTTTAGGCTAAACTTCCCGCTCACTAAAAAGCCGCGAAGAGATGCACAAAAACGTATTCGCCAAAGCACAAGAAGAAGAAAGCCAGACAACAACGCGTCAGGGTGGTTTAATGCGAAGTAAACACAATCAATCGTGAAGGGTTTAAAAGGTTTGCAGGCTGCGCCCCCCCCAACCCCCCCGCTTTTTTTAGACTAAACTCCCCGCTCACTAGCACGAAGAGATGCACAAAAACGTATTCGCCAACACAGTAGAAGGAGAAAGCCAGACAACAACGCGTCAGGGTGGTTTAATGCGAAGACAACACAATCAGTCGTGAGGGGTTTAAAGGGTTTGTAAATACAACAAAGCGTCAGGGTGGTTGAATGCGAAGTAAACACAATCAATCGTGAAGGGTTTAAAAGGTTTGGAAATGGGGGGGGCTGCGCCCCCCCCAACCCCCCCGCTTTTTTTAGACTAAACTCCCCGCTCACTAAAGGCACGAAGAGATGCACAAAAACGTATTCGCCAAAACACAAGAAGGAGAAGTCCAGACAACAACGCGTCAGGGTGGTTTGATGCGAAGAAAACACAATCAATCGTGAAGGATTTAAAAGGTTTGCAACTGGGGGGGTGGCTGCGCCCCCCCCAACCCCCCCGCTTTGTTTAGGCTAAACTCCCCGCTCACTAAAAAGCCGCGAAGAAATGCACAAAAACGTATTCGCCAAAACACAAGAAGAAGAAAGCCAGACAAGAACGCGCCAGGGTGGTTTAATGCGAAGTAAACACAATCAATCGTGAAGGGTTTAAAAGGTTTGCAGGCTGCGCCCCCCCAAGCCCCCCCGCTTTTTTTTTGGCTAAACTCCCCGCTCACTGGCACGAAGAGATGCACAAAAACGTATTCGCCAACACAGAAGAAGGAGAAAGCCAGACAACAACGCGTCAGGGTGGTTTAATGCGAAGAAAACAGGGTGGTTGAATGCGAAGTAAACACAATCAATCGTGAAGGGTTTAAAAGGTTTGAAAATGGGGGGGGGGCTGCGCCCCCCCAACCCCCCCGCTTTTTTTAGACTAAACTCCCCGCTCACTAAAGGCACGAAGAGATGCACAAAAACGTATTCGCCAAAACACAAGAAGGAGAAGTCCAGACAACAACGCGTCAGGGTGGTTTGATGCGAAGAAAACACAATCAATCGTGAAGGATTTAAAAGGTTTGCAACTGGGGGGGTGGCTGCGCCCCCCCCAACCCCCCCGCTTTGTTTAGGCTAAACTCCCCGCTCACTAAAAAGCCGCGAAGAAATGCACAAAAACGTATTCGCCAAAACACAAGAAGAAGAAAGCCAGACAAGAACGCGCCAGGGTGGTTTAATGCGAAGTAAACACAATCAATCGTGAAGGGTTTAAAAGGTTTGCAGGCTGCGCCCCCCCCAACCCCCCCGCTTTTTTTAGACTAAACTCCCCGCTCACTAGCACGAAGAGATGCACAAAAACGTATTCGCCAACACAGTAGAAGGAGAAAGCCAGACAACAACGCGTCAGGGTGGTTTAATGCGAAGACAACACAATCAGTCGTGAGGGGTTTAAAGGGTTTGTAAATACAACAAAGCGTCAGGGTGGTTGAATGCGAAGTAAACACAATCAATCGTGAAGGGTTTAAAAGGTTTGGAAATGGGGGGGGCTGCGCCCCCCCCAACCCCCCCGCTTTTTTTAGACTAAACTCCCCGCTCACTAAAAAGCCGCGAAGAGATGCACAAAAACGTATTCGCCAAAACACAAGAAGGAGAAGTCCAGACAACAACGCGTCAGGGTGGTTTAATGCGAAGTAAACACAATCAATCGTGAAGGGTTTAAAAGGTTTGCAGGCTGCGCCCCCCCCAACCCCCCCGCTTTTTTTAGACTAAACTCCCCGCTCACTAGCACGAAGAGATGCACAAAAACGTATTCGCCAACACAGTAGAAGGAGAAAGCCAGACAACAACGCGTCAGGGTGGTTTAATGCGAAGACAACACAATCAGTCGTGAGGGGTTTAAAGGGTTTGTAAATACAACAAAGCGTCAGGGTGGTTGAATGCGAAGTAAACACAATCAATCGTGAAGGGTTTAAAAGGTTTGGAAATGGGGGGGGCTGCGCCCCCCCCAACCCCCCCGCTTTTTTTAGACTAAACTCCCCGCTCACTAAAGGCACGAAGAGATGCACAAAAACGTATTCGCCAAAACACAAGAAGGAGAAGTCCAGACAACAACGCGTCAGGGTGGTTTGATGCGAAGAAAACACAATCAATCGTGAAGGATTTAAAAGGTTTGCAACTGGGGGGGTGGCTGCGCCCCCCCCAACCCCCCCGCTTTGTTTAGGCTAAACTCCCCGCTCACTAAAAAGCCGCGAAGAAATGCACAAAAACGTATTCGCCAAAACACAAGAAGAAGAAAGCCAGACAAGAACGCGCCAGGGTGGTTTAATGCGAAGTAAACACAATCAATCGTGAAGGGTTTAAAAGGTTTGCAGGCTGCGCCCCCCCAAGCCCCCCCGCTTTTTTTTGGCTAAACTCCCCGCTCACTGGCACGAAGAGATGCACAAAAACGTATTCGCCAACACAGAAGAAGGAGAAAGCCAGACAACAACGCGTCAGGGTGGTTTAATGCGAAGAAAACAGGGTGGTTGAATGCGAAGTAAACACAATCAATCGTGAAGGGTTTAAAAGGTTTGAAAATGGAAAATGGGGGGGGCTGCGCCCCCCCAACCCCCCCGCTTTTTTTAGACTAAACTCCCCGCTCACTAAAGGCACGAAGAGATGCACAAAAACGTATTCGCCAAAACACAAGAAGGAGAAGTCCAGACAACAACGCGTCAGGGTGGTTTGATGCGAAGAAAACACAATCAATCGTGAAGGATTTAAAAGGTTTGCAACTGGGGGGGTGGCTGCGCCCCCCCCAACCCCCCCGCTTTGTTTAGGCTAAACTCCCCGCTCACTAAAAAGCCGCGAAGAAATGCACAAAAACGTATTCGCCAAAACACAAGAAGAAGAAAGCCAGACAAGAACGCGCCAGGGTGGTTTAATGCGAAGTAAACACAATCAATCGTGAAGGGTTTAAAAGGTTTGCAGGCTGCGCCCCCCCCAAGCCCCCCCGCTTTTTTTTGGCTAAACTCCCCGCTCACTGGCACGAAGAGATGCACAAAAACGTATTCGCCAACACAGAAGAAGGAGAAAGCCAGACAACAACGCGTCAGGGTGGTTTAATGCGAAGAAAACACAGTCAGTCGTGAAGGGTTTAAAGGGTTTGTAAATACAACAAAGCGTCAGGGTGGTTTAATGCGAAGTAAACACAATCAATCGTGAAGGGTTTAAAAGGTTTGCAAATGGGGGGGGCTGCGCCCCCCCCCAACCCCCCCGCTTTTTTAGACTAAACTCCCCGCTCACTAAAGGCACGAAAGATGCACAAAAACGTATTCGCCAAAACACAAGAAGGAGAAGTCCAGACAACAACGCGTCAGGGTGGTTTGATGCGAAGAAAACACAATCAATCGTGAAGGATTTAAAAGGTTTGCAAAGGGGGGAGGTCCCCGATGAACCCTCCACAGGGATACTGCGTGTCGAAGCGCCGGCGCTGTGGCGCGGTGCAAATTTTCAACGTCCCCGATGAAGCTTCCACAGGGATCCTGCGTGTCGAAGCGCTGGCGCTGTGGTGCGGTGCAAATTTTCTACGTTCCCGATGAACCCTCCACAGGGATCCTGCGTGTCGAAGCGCTGGCGCTGTGGCGCGGCGCAAATTTTGTGTGTCCCCGATGAACCCTTCACAGGGATCCTGCGTGTCGAAGCGCTGGCGCTGTGGTGCGGTGCAAATTTTCTACGTTCCCGATGAACCCTCCACAGGGATCCTGCGTGTCGAAGCGCTGGCGCTGTGGCGCGGCGCAAATTTTGTGTGTCCCCGATGAACCCTTCACAGGGATCCTGCGTGTCGAAGCGCTGGCGCTGTGGTGCGGTGCAAATTTTCTACGTTCCCGATGAACCCTCCACAGGGATCCTGCGTGTCGAAGCGCTGGCGCTGTGGCGCGGCGCAAATTTTGTGTGTCCCCGATGAACCTTTCACAGGGATCCTGCGTGTCGAAGCGCTGGCGCTGTGGTGCGGTGCAAATTTTCTACGTTCCCGATGAACCCTCCACAGGGATCCTGCGTGTCGAAGCGCTGGCGCTGTGGCGCGGCGCAAATTTTGTGTGTCCCCGATGAACCCTTCACAGGGATCCTGCGTGTCGAAGCGCTGGCGCTGTGGTGCGGTGCAAATTTTCTACGTTCCCGATGAACCCTCCACAGGGATCCTGCGTGTCGAAGCGCTGGCGCTGTGGCGCGGTGCAAATTTTCTATGTCCCCGATGAACCCTTCACAGGGATCCTGCGTGTCGAACTTGAACAGAACCCTAAACCCTAAACCCTGCAAGGCAATGCAACACGGCCAAGCAAACCACCAAAAAAAAAAAAATGCAAAAAAAAAACAAAAATACCAAACTAGTTCCAGACCCTTTATCCGGGCCGCCCGGGATATTGGCAGTCTCGGGTTGGAGGTTGGTAAGGTCGACGTTGTTTGAAGGAAAGCCAACCATCACATCATTACTAGTGAGATTCTTTTAAGTTTTTGTACTGTGCGAGCTCCCAAACATGTTATACAAGTACTAATACTGATACAAATGCTAATACCAATACTAATACTAATACTAGTGCTAATACTAAGACTGAGACTACTACGAATACTAACACTAATACTAACACTAATGCTAACTCTACTACTAATACTAATACAGATTGCAAACAGTCATAATAGCAATACTAACCATACTGACAAGAATAAGTATAGTCACTATTTTTATTGAAGGGCGGCCTGACAGTTACGGACTGAGAGCCGCGTCGTAGCCTTCGGAGCTCGCCTCAGCGGCTCGGTACAGTCCCAGTCCGCACTCTTCTTCGGGGACTTTCGGGTTTAGGGGTTTAGGGTTTAGGGGTTGAGGGTTTCGGGGTTTACGGGTTTAGGGTTTAGGGTTTAGGGGTTTTCAGGGTTTAGGGGTTTAAGGTTTGGGGGTTTAGGGTTCAGGGGTTTAAGGTTTAGGGGTTTGGGGTTTAGGGGTTTAGGGTTTAGGGGTTTAGGGCTTAGGGGTTTAGGGGTTTAGGGGTTTAGGGGTTAGGGTTTAGGGGTTTAGGGTTTAGGGGTTTAAGGTTTAGGGGTTTAGGGTTTAGGGGTTTAGGGTTTAGGGGTTTAGGGTTTAGGGGTTTAGGGTTTAGGGGTTTAGGGTTTAGGGGTTTAAGGTTTGGGGGTTTAGGGTTTAGGGGTCTAAGGTTTAGGGGTTTAGGGTTTAGGGGTTTAGGGTTCAGGGGTTTAAGGTTTAGGGGTTTAGGGGTTTAGGGGTTAGGGGTTTAGGGGTTTAGGGGTTTAGGGTTTAGGGGTTTAGGGTTTAGGGGTTTAGGGTTTCAGGGGTTTAGGGGTTTAAGGTTTAGGGGTTTAGTGTTTAGGGTTCTGGGTTTAGCGGTCCGGGGCTTGTTTTGTGTTTGGAGTTGACGGTTTTGGATCCAGACTTGAGGCTTCAGGAAAGGTGTCTCAAGCGGCGAAGGTGTTGCAAGCCATGCAAACCTGAGCAAACCAGTAAGGTGCTCGTAACCGCCGATTCCAAATGCACGCGCGCCTGTTATGCTTGTGCAGCCACTGGGAGGACATCACGAACGTTGCGCTGGTTCCGCGAAGGAACAAGATCATGAGCAGAAGCCTCAGTCCCTCCATGCTCTGTGCACGTCTGTGTGTTGCGGCATCAAGCACCACAGGTTTTCTTCGTCCTCTGGTTCAGCACGACGGTGATACTCCTCCACTTACAAACATCAGGACAGCTTGAGATCGCCTTCTTGCTTCAAAACTCGGCAGCCAAGTGCAGGACTGGTGGCTTAAAATACTGACGAGCCTTGGGCTTGACCGCGGATATTTGCAGAGATAGCTCTGTCGACATCTTCAAAAAATGTGTACTTCTGGCGCGAGTATTTTGCCCACTGTGCTGCTTGGGGTTTCGGGGCAAAGCTAAGTGCTCGCAACAGCGCATTATGTTCCTTTGCCGAGATTTTTCCATTCCGGCAAGCAGTGCTTCCGGACGGAAGCCAAAAGCTAGCAGTTTGCAACCACGTGTGCAGAGGTCCACACTTCCCTAGCCTTCACCTCCAGACATGCAACCATGAGTTGACCCACGAGCTTACATGCTTGTCCGTGAGCAAGAGTCAGCAACCCATTAGCATATCAGCTGTCAGACCTTGCAAGTGCGGCTAGTCCGATTCCACCGAGATGTGCCGCTCATGTGACCCTCCCGTGCCGCGTGTGCCATTTGGCACGGCGGAAGATGAGTGCGAGCAACAGCCTGCGGTACCCGCCTCATTCTACAAGCAATAGGAGCCACGTCGGCGCACCACTGTCCGCGGAGACGCGAGTCGGACCAAGGTCCTTGCTGAGCCTCGTTCGTACTGCCCAGCAACAGCTGGCTGTCGATTTGAGCGACCGCCAATTTCACGATCACTACGCTACTCGCATTCAGGCGAGGCACTCAGGCGAGGTGCGAGGCGACGCGTCGCAAACTCCTACCGGAGGCAGTCTGGCGACGCGCAGTGGCGCGGCAGCGGGTGGCGAATCTAGCTCGGCCCTAAAGCTTGCATACGGAGAGCGGTGGAACTATGCTTTGTCGCACTCAGGTAGCATGCAACTACGCGGAGAGCTTGCTCAGCGCATGTTGCGAGCAACTCACCGCTCGAATGCAAGCCAAGGCTCCATTGCTCGAGCAGCAAACTGTGCAGCTGTTCCCGTTTACTCCGAGCAGGCTTTTGTTGCGGCCCGGAACCATCAAATTCGACGATTGCGGGAAGAAGTTACGAAGTTCAGGTTGGCATGCATGGAAGCTTTCTTTGTTGCACCTGTTTCTGGCCTTGTGTCCCAGTGGCTTCGTGTCCTACCTCTACCGTCGAGAGCGGGAGATTCAGATCCAGGAGCCGGTCGAAAAAGTAAATCAGGGTTGAGAAGGGGCCTGTTTGGCTCGAGAGGCAGATTAGACGTGAGCTTAGGGCAGTGCGTCTCTCAACTACGATTGAAGACAGAAGCAAGGGCCACCACAGAGCAACATTTAAAGCAATGTAATCCTTGCATCTGCCGCCCCAGCATGTTGAACACTTAGATTCTTCGAAGTCGCATGTCCACTGTCTCAAGCCCATAACCTGCAACGTTTGGCATGGCCAAGATCAGAGAAGTCAGTCGAAGGAGGCTATGGCCTGGTCAAGCAAAAAGCCAAAGTCACTCTTTGTGCAGCCCGGCCCAGCTAAACACAAAGCTCTGAACAACTGGCCCGTGGCATTTGTGCTATGTTCTCGAATCGTTGGAGGGAATCTTCCTGCTGTCACAAGCCCGGAACCGGCCACCGTTGCTCCGTCGTTTCGTCTTCAGTTTTTTCTAGTCACTGGGCCTCATAACGCTTGCACTTGACGGAGCCCCTTATGACTCGCAGCAAAATCAGACCGCAAAGGAGGTTACACGTGCACTCCTCAGATGCTCAAGTCTGCCAGAGCTGCGTGTGGGACGACGTCGTCGCACACTCCTTGTTGAAGCGCTCATCGTGCTACCGTGGACGTGCACCCACTGGGGACTAGTGCGTCGGCCTGCTCCGCCTTTGAGCAAGGCGAAGCTCACGGTTTCGCCCGAAAAAGATGGGGGATAGAATGCGGAACACATGGGCAGCAGTTCGCAGCAGTCTCAACCGGAGCAATGCAGGGTTTCTCCAACGCAGCCAGCCCCGCTTCAAGTCCGGCAGGGCTCGGGGGGTTGGTCCATGCACAGTAGAAAAAGACGGTCCACGCTTCAAAACGGCGGCTTGAGGCAGGGTTACTATTTGGAAGATACTTGGCACAAAATCCCAATATGGAATGGCCTCCATCAGGTGCGGACATAGCAAACTGGCCCGTTGAAACGAGGAGCACCTCGACAACGAGAAGCATCGCCTGCGAGCCGTGCTTTTGATCCAGGCGGCCGCTGATCCTGAGTAGCAGCCGTGGTATCCACGAGCTCGCACCAAAGCCAGGCATGGTGGAAGGGCTGTTTGGTGCGAGGGTTTGAAGCTGCGCACAAAGCCCTGCTCTCGGCACATTCCACAGCAATAACATTGTAGCATCGAAACTGCATGAACGTAAGATTTGTAGTCCTTTCGTGGGGTTTTGATATGTATCGTGCATAAACTAACAGATGAATGGAGTAGATAACAGTTCCGGCGATGATAGATCCTTCACACCCTGCGAAGGATTACATATAAGTTTGTCTGAGGCGAAAGAGCAACGAGATCAGCAGCGAGCCCGGTGTGCTTTTGTTTTGAATCTCCTGCACACGTCGTTGTGCGAGGCTCAGGCTAACGACTTCTTCCCAAGCAAGCTCGAAGCATGACCGAAGCATCGCCGTGGGACATCCCATCGCCTGGTCACAGAGTCTCTCTTGACAGCAGGAATCAGCCAGTGCACTAGCTACGTTCTTCGACAATCCTTCAAGGACAACTGTCTGTCTGCATCTCATGCTTTCCAACTCTGGATAGTATGACCATCGATATCTTCCAGGACAATTCAGCAGGTGCCCGACGTTGGAGTGGAAGAGAAGGTTCGGGTTTTACCCGCCCCGACACGATGAACCCACGACGCCTAAGTTGAGCAAGGCGTAGCTTTTGAGTTGCTGCGTTCTGCCACGTGCCACTCGACGCAGGAAAACTCTTCGTCGGATGAGTCCAAAGCCAGACAGGACGAGCCCGCTCCGAGGTGAAGCATTGCGCAAGCAGTCTCAATGTACATCGTGCTGATACATTGGGGGTCTTCACTGTGCAGATGTTTGATTCCAGGTTCCTGCTGCCGCTGAGGCCGCAGCTCCGTTCCAGCATACTTGAATGCAGCCCTGCCTCCACTGCAGGAGACTCAGCCGGACTGGCGGCTCTGAGGGAGAAGCTTGGACCCAAGCAGGGCGTTCTGCAGTTAAGTAGTGTTGCAGTGCCCCGGCAAACTGCGATTGCTAAGGAGAGGGTTCACCAGCGACCGCGGCAGATTCACATCTACTTCTCCGACACGGGGGGTGGCCATCGCGCCTCTGCGCTGTCTTTGGAGGCGCCACATGTCAAGTCCGAATGCTGGAAGCTGGGCACCTGCCGTGGAAGGCGGCTCTGAAGAAGCTCTATGGAAACCAGGCTACACGAAGAAAGAATCCCCCAGCGGGCCACCGCACATCCTTTCTGTGCAAATGAGGTTTCGGTGACCCTCGTCGATTTCATAAGACACGCGATGCCGTGGCCACTGCCCATGCCCAAGTTGCGACTCCTTTGCGCAAAAGCGGAGACTTGTTTCCAGAGCCCGCGTCCACGGCGTTTGACCTTCGTTCCGGCAGGTCGCAGGCGCCAGAAACCTACCAGGCATCGGATGCGACAAGTCTCAGACTGTGTACCACACTAGCTTTGCATGGCAGACATTGGGTCACTTCCCTTCCGTGTACAAACGTGCTGCGTCCTCATGAGGGAGGCCTGTTTTTAAAGGTGATGCAAGTGTAGCTCATCTAAGGCCTGGGACTATGATCAAGACAGCGAGACATGGTGCGACACTACAAGTTCCCTGCCTGAATTGGGAGCGTGGGGTTTTCACCGGTTGTTTCCAACCTGTATCGCTCGGCTACAGATTCATTGCGAGTGGCCGCAGCATCCTGCGGCATACACTCAGGCTACAAGATGATGTGGAGTTACTGCCGGGAGTGCGGATCACAGCAAGCCAGATCCACCAAGCTCACTTTCGATTGTCTCCGCCGCTCGCTGCCTTGCAGCTTCAGGTCAGTCCTCAGTTATTTAGAGCAGGCTGCGTTGGAATTAGACCTCATCATCTCCGTTCATCCATTGCCCGGTGCTGAGACTCGACCAGAGATTTTTTTGTTGGGCGGGCCAGTGTTCTGGCGGCAGGATTCACCACGTGGTGATTGAAGCACTGGAAGAACTTGCAAAAGGCGGGTTCTTGGTATGAGTTTGGGCTGTATATGCTGTTGTGCTAGGCCCAGACGACCCATGCCGGATTCGGCTTGTCGATTTGCTCGGCGGATGATCTTGGCACAGTGGTTGAACGCGTTTGCTCACATTTCGGTTGACTAGCTACTTCATTTCCTTGCCACTCTCTAACATCTGTGGTGGAGACGGCAACATAGAAACTCTCTGTTCCAGGGTCAAACTGACCTGCGGCCTCTGTCAGGATCGTAGAGAGGGGCATTTTGTAGCATCCTTGGAGGTTCCCAACAACCTGCAAGCCGCCAGGCCCGAGTTCATGACAATGTGACGCCATGCCACTGGCCTGTTCTCCAGGACCTCTGCCTGCCGGTTGTCACAGTCGCAGTTGCCTCAGAGATCAGGATTTTTGGGCAGCCCGGGACTTGGTGCACCTCAGGTGACAGACTTGGGATCTGCGCACCTGTCCTGGTTGGCAGCCTACTTGACATTTGCAGGGAGCGTTGCGGATGCATCGCGACTTGTAGTTGAAGCCCGCACAGGTTTGACCCGCGCGCCGACATGTTGTTTGTTCCGAGTCAGGATGCATCCCTAGAGTTTGATGTCACGGAAGCTGCCCTGACTCGCATCATCACGCAACGGTAACGGTGCAGGAAATATACCAAGCCGCCATCAAACGAGGAGTGCCGAGGAGGACAGGTCATAACTTTTTGAAGCAGGCTGCTGGCTTCGTTCGTTCGTGTTTGCACCTCGGTGCATTGGTGCCCTTGGTAGAACTGCGAGGTGTCGTGTGTCCAAAGTCCCCGAAGCCTAAGACCGGTATTCTTGCTTCCGCGTGACTGCCAGGAAGATCCACTTGTGTGGCCTGCCGCTGCGGGAAGGCAGCTCAGACTTGACCCTGGTGATGCAAGTTTCCAATTGTCTTACGTGATGTTGGATATGGATATATGATATCTGCGGATACGGATAGTGTCGTATGTTCCATGAGCCGATCCCGGTCCCGGTCGTCCCGCCCGTCCCGTCTTGTCCTGTCCGTCCCATCCCGGTCCGTCCCGTCGCATCCATCCCGTTGCCTTCCCGTCCCGTTCAACGTCGAAAAAAAACTATCTTTAGTTGTCACACGAATCTTTCCGATGTCCGGGTGTAACACTGTGACAGCCCGTTTAAGCCATGTGCAGGCTTTTGGTGCGCCGATCCCGTGTCTCCTGACCAAAAGCGCCGCCTGCAGGTGCATTTGGCTAGTTGCCGTATCGGCGGGTCAACTGTACAAACCTTCTGAGAAACTCCGTGGCACCTCTGGAGACAATGTGCTGTAGCTGAAAGGTTCAGTTGGGACTTCGACCTACGGAACGGCCCGAGGTATCGACGTTGCCTCTTCGTTTTGTGAGCCTGATGCGGCTACTGTCAGGTTGTGCTTCTCATGGGAGGCGGCGAGGGCTTCGGGAAGCTCCTGGATGCTGCTTGATGTGACTATGACTGTAGAGGAAGGGCAGGCAAAAATTGTTTGAGTAGTAAGGTGGCATGTGCCATTGGCGATAAGTTGATCGGCAGTTCCCCCAGTTGGTTCTTTGTGCCACATGTGAAACCTAAGATCTCCGCTTCATTTTTCCAGGTCTTGGTTATGGACAGCTCGTGGTTGTCTGTGGTCGGAACGAAGAGGCGTGGTCGCGGATAAGAAGGAGAGAGTTCATGCACCATGAGAAGTCTCAGGTCCGGAAAGCGCTGGTTGAGCCACTGGGACTGGTCAGAGAGACTCCATAGGGTTTTGGGGTATAGTATACTATAGTTAGAATAAAGAAGAACAAAAAAGTATCGGTAAATATTCCACAGTCTTGCATGCCATTCATTGGCTAACTGGTTGCTGGTTGTGGCATGGCCAGGCATCCTCAGTGCTTCATCGTGACGAGTTCTTGGTCTTTTGTCGTCAAGCAGTTGACACCATTCCTTATGTTAAGATCTACTAGCGTTTGTCCATTGTTTCATGCATCGTCACCACATGCCGACATGCCCGTCTAATGACCACTGTAGTGTTGCTCAGCATCTGCTTCGTTTTACCCTGTGTTCTCACGTTTTGTAAACCAGCGTTCTTAGAGCCGCAGGCTTTACTTGGCATCATGTGAGTTCATGTGCCGGACATAGCGTCACACTGCCCATCACCGCTCCATGCTACTGTCATCATTACAGTGTCCTGCCGGGGAAGGTGATAGTACCTGACATGAACACCATTGATCATGCAGGTTCATAATGTGCGACGAAACTCCCGTGTCATATCACTGTGTTCTGAACTAGCTCTGTAGGTTGCTCATTCATCTTTTTCCTCTCCGTGCGCTCCAGGCGGCGCTGGACGCCCCGCGGCTTTGGGGACTGGAGATTTTAGAGCACGATCTGCTGATGACGTTGTAACGTGACTACGTTGTGCCTTCTTTTACCACGGTATTGCTAGGTGTGAGGAGCTGCCGCGAATCGTAGCAATGGAGCTGTTCTTGATACAACGAAGCCCGTACTTTGCTGGACGTTTGGCACAGAGAACGCAAGCGCTCTGAACAGACAAAGTCCACACCCCTGAGCACCTTGAGAAGGCTTGGAGGAGCTCCCCAAAAAAATGGAAGCGATCCAACGAAAAGACATAAAGAGGGTATCACCTCGTTTTGAGATGAAAGCTGATCATGCGTAACACATGAACATGGCACCATGCGCTAAAAACGATGTACAACCCTTGGTGCCTCTGCAGGTAGCGGCAGCGTCATACGTCCAAAATGAATCAGCCTTTCTGTCTTTGGTTCCAACGTCTTGCTGACATGTTGTGGGTGTGCACGGGTCTCTGCTTGCAGGAATGGCTTTTCGAACCCTTGATTCTGGGCTTCGTCACAAATGTGGACCAGTGCGACGTTATTGTGTCGAGGCATTGCGAGTGGATATGCGCTTGTGCTGAGAGGTACATGACAGCTGCCGACTGTCTGGTGACGAAGGCGTGCGGTCATTCCTTTTTGCAATATTCGCTGTCAGCAGCACTATGATGGTTCTAAATGCTCATGTTCTTATATGGATAGATACGTGCACATGTACGTATCAAGTTTCGTATTCATGTCCGTGTGGCCATACACTTCGGTATGTACCCGGACTACTCTAGTAACTTGCTTTGCGACCCAGCCCGGCTTTTGTGCAGTTCTCGATAAGGCAGGACCCGGATCCATCGCTGAGAGCATGATCAAAGGCCAGCGAGATGCAAGAGGAAGCGCCCTTTGCCCATTACTTTGACGCCCAGGTCTGCCGTGCCTTCTGACAGCTTTCGTGCCTGGCCAAGAGGAAGGCAATATCAGCTATGCCGACCCTGCAAAATTGGAGCTCCAAGACAGAGCATGTAGACGTGTCGGATGTGTCTGCCAGGTCACCGACAATGGTGCTGGTGCCTACGTCTCGGATCAGGTGAGCCAGGGATGCTCTGGGCCATGTTCCGTCGTCTTGAAGCCAATGCCAGGAGCCAGATCTTGTGGCAGCAAAGATTGAGGAGTGGTTGAAGGCTCCCTGCCACTTGGTTTTACTCCAGGGCGTCGGCGCTGTTTCTTGCCGCCTTTGTAGGACCCGCCCGCTTTGGAGAGGATGTCTGAGAACGCGCAGCCACGATGCATATCAACTCCGGCGTCGAATCAGTGTCACGAGATAGTGGAGCATGACTTGAGGCGAAGATTAGCACAGCCAGATGCTGCGCTGGAAATTGCCCGGAGGTGCACGGACTGTCATGGCATGAACAGATTCACTCTTAACCGTGCAAGGATGTGCGATAGCCTTCTTGATCTCGGGGTGGAGCTTGAAGAGGCTGGGGAGCAAGTTGTCAGCTTTGCACTTCTACGTTCGAATTGTGTCATGATGAATCCTTGAACTACTGAGCAGGTGCGTTCCGGAAGTTTCGGGACGACATGGAGGAATCAGTTGCTGCATCGCAAGGACCTTTCCTGCACTGCTGCGGTCGGTATTTAGCAGCAGCACTTGCAGAGGAGCAGCGTCGCAAATCAAGACAAAAAGCAACGGGTGAAGCTGCAACCAGTGAGGAGTGTGATGCTTCCCCTTGAAAAAATCAAGCGAGCAGTCCGAAAGGGAAGTGTTTCATCCTTCGATGCTTCATCGCTGGCGATTTGATGTTGCCGCTTGCACACGTAGCCGGCATGTTGTAGCATCATCACGGATCTGCTCAGATGCCGCTACTTGCAGCGTTCAGATATTGGCTCCAGTCTCCTTTGCTTAGAGCTCTGGAGGTCTGGTCCGTGGGTCATGATATTCAGACTAGTGTTGGTGGCTGTGCCCTTGCTAGCGACGGTCTTAGCTTCAATCACCGGTGGCGCCTCGGACATTCCTCTGTCAACGAAGCTTGTAAGGTTGCGCGGTCTGCAACCCCGCCATGTGCTATCATTGGCACGGCATACAAGGACTTTTAGCTGCTCTATCTCCCAGCACTTTATGGAGGTTTGCCAGAGCCCTGAGCAGGACCCTGAAGTTACAAAGCCCAATGGAGGCAAGCCATACGATGCATTGGCGTGCACGGCTCAAGTTGAAACTTGTTCCTGTCAATCGCCTCAGAAGTGCAACCCCTTAGAACCTCAAGGTGCCAGATGTACTGCGAAACCAACCCGGACTGCACTGTTTTCACCTACTACAAGGAATCCAAGGCCGGCTTGGAGCGAGAGAAGCTGCGAGGGGCTTTTTTCTCGGCCCGCGCTTGGCTTTCAGGACTGCTGGATGTTAGGCACCGCCGTGGTGGATTCAACTGGACACGGAGAAGATGTGATTAGCGGGCCCGAAGACTGCGACCACCTACTCCCCGGCACTGCGGGGAAGATCGAGCCGAACCCCTTGCGGAAGTATCCCGGCGTCGTGGTGCAGTCGGAGGAGCCCGCCGTCTCAGCACGCGAGGAGGCCGTGTCGGACAGCGCGGCCGTGGCCGACTCGGAGCCTCCGAGCTCGGGCTTCCCCTGGGCGTGGCTACTCGGAGCCCGCAGGGGTTTTCCGATGTTTTCGATGTCAGGTTCCGGAGTACTTGCAGTGGGCCATCCGTGTGATGTGCCAGGAGGATGCGCGGTTGGTGCTGTGCTGGTGGGCGTCTACTGGTGTGCAGCAGGACCTAAGTGCTTTTTGAAGCTTGTTTCCTGCGAGACACAGCGGAGTTCCTCCGGAGGCGAGAAGCGACGGAAGACCTCTCGGGGAACGAAGGCCCGGAGAGTCTCTGTTGCCTGTCGGGTCTGTTGAAAGAGCGCTGAGGTTGAAGCTGACCTGGAGATCCCGCAGAGTGACCAAATGCCACTAGTGGATCCAGGTATGAACCCGAGCAGCATGGGCCCCCAAAAAGTCTACAGCCCTGTGCTTTTGCCTGGCTCTCGAGGTCCTCTAGTGAACCCTGCGCAGCCGGCATGGATCGCAGCGCCTCCAGTGCCTGTCCGGATTTGGTTGATGCTTCACTTATGAACTCGTAACTGTTGGCGTCGATCGGTTGTGGGAGTCGAACCTCACTGCCCAGTCGATTCTGCAGGAAAGCCAAGTAAACAGCTCAGATGACGTGATGGAGAAACCATGCTGATCTCCAGCGACGGCTATGACTGTAAGTTGCATTTGTTTACGGCATCCCGCATGAGCCACCAAGTTCCTGGCCTCCGGCTAGATGCCAACTCCAAATCTAGCTGTTCATGCTGAAGACCCTTCGGCAACTCGGGCGAGCCGTGTGGATGTGCTTCAGCGTTTTGCGGATGCCGAGGTGCCGCAGTACTACTCTCAACAGCTCCAAATGCAAGCCCCGCTTTACCAGCCCAGCTATCTGAGCTACCCAAACCAGGCTTGCCAGGGGGGTGGGGGGCACGGCACGGCGAATGGAGAGTGTGCCGTCGGATTTCCTGTGCTGTGGGCTGTGGGCTAGGTCTACTAGCGCAAGCCCTCTCGCCTTGCGCTCTCGCACTGACTTGCGCTGGCTCTGATTCGCTTGGACCAAAAAGTTGGCGGCAACTTTGACACTTCGTTGAAGCAGTTGTGAGACAGAGCATGTGTAAGCGGATGCTGAAAGCTGAGTTTGCTTGCAGAGATCCTAAACAACCACCATGTCAGTTCGATCTTTTTAGCTACAGCTCGCACGGTTCAGCATTCGACTTGATCAAATCAGATCACTGTTCAGGGCAGGGCTTCAGTAAAGTTCGTGAAGGGCGCAGCTGAACTAGAAGCCGCTTGGATCCCACGTCGAAGTGTCACCGGCGCGCATGGGCAGCGTAACCCAGTCCAGGCCAGAGCCCGTGTAGCTCGTGTTGGGGTCCCTGCAGTTGCACTCGAAGCTGTCAGACATGGCTTCTCCGAAAAGCTCCCCGAAAAGCGGGGCCAGCTCACCGACTTCTCCAAGTGGAAAGCGGTCACCGAAGAAGTCGCCAAACGGCCGGAAGCAAGCAGGACGGGGTTTCGGGCAGCTTCGGGGTCGATTGGCATTCTGACTCCTATTTGCACCGTCTCCTCAGGCAAGCAGCCTGCCGTCGCAGCAGCAACTGAGTTTGTGCCAGAGGGCGATGACAAGAATGCTCCTGCAGCTGGTGACCAAGCAAGCTCCAGTTGCAGGGCGTTGAAGACTCGGCCTTTCGTTTGCGGCTTTAGAGCCTCGCAAGGCTTGGATTCAGTCGGTGCTCCTGCTTCACAACGAAAGACGGGCGGCTCACTGGACACCTCCCCTGGCCATTCCCCAAGACTGGCATGGGAAGCAATGCTGCAATATCGCAATGCTGCGCTATCGTATCGAATTGAAAGGTCTGGAGCCAGGAGTGTTACGAGCACGCCAGGCGGGAGCCTGAGATGCGTCGAGCTGTGGGGTAGAGGCTCCGAGCTCCTGTCTTCTCCTTCGAGGATGCAAGCCCAAGCCTGCGAAACCGCAGATCGACGACTGTGCTTGTCTCAGTGTCTCAGTCCTCCGATCCGATCCGAAGGCAGGGGGACAAGCCCGAACCCGAGGACCAAAAACTTCGTGGAAAGCTTGAGTGGCCGACATGGGCAAAACTCCCTGGGCCCGTCGAGGACACCTTCCGAGAGCCGGGAATGCACCTGAAGTTCTCATCTGGTTTTCGATGCTTCTGCAAGGAAGGAGTTGAAGTGGGACCAGGCCGCGGCGGAACATGTGGTGACTCAATGGTACAGTGAGCTGGACCGGGGTCTGGGGGTTGCTCCGTTTCGCACTGCGTCTGATGCGGGACACTGCGATACTTGTGAGGAGCATTATGATTTCCATCATCCTGGCCCGCAGAAGGGCTGCGTCAACTTCATTCAAATGATGTGGGCAGGGACGTGTTCGGTCAGTGCCTTCGTGTTTGAGAGTCCGAAGAAGATGTCAGCACCATGCAATGCAGCTGTGGAGTCGGGATCCGACACATGCAGAGGTCGGGATGGCCCTGTCGTCAAACGGCAGGTACTGTCACCCTTCTGAGATGGCGTCGTTGGCTGCAGTCGCCTGCACAGACTGTTCCTACTGAGGTGTTGCCAACTACTTCCCTCCAGTTGGCGACGTCCTTAATTTCAGTCTCCACCTCCCGTGAGAATTAGAATATGGTTTCTTTAAAGGGGTCCTTCAAGGGCTACTATGAGGGATCTATAGTACTCTGCCGCTGCTGAAGGCAATGTCCTGGCCTACAAGTATGCAAAGAACCTGCATCCGTGGCCACCTCAGACATCTCAGACTCGGACCGGACTTGATGCACTTGCCTCAGCTTTTTAAGTTCAAGTGCAAGTCGCCACCTCAAGCCTCTGCGTGCTTTGGGGGGACGCACGGAAATCGCGTTTACTTGGAAGGGCGGTCTCGAACAGAAACAAAGATCAGAATCCTCACGATCCTAAGCCCTCGGTGGTATCCGTGCACCGCTCCGCAGAAAGCAACCTCAGCAGTCGTAAGCGGTTTTGTCAGGCAGATGCAAGGGGGTTGCATACCTTCTGCAAAACATCCGTGGATCCTCTCATCAGGTTTTGGCCAGGTAATCCGTACACGGCATGTCCGTGCGTATCCGTGCGTGTTGTCCAGACACGGTCATACAGGAAGACTTGCGACGGCATCGGTCGACGAGAGCTCATGCTAGGGACGCATCCCAGCAGACAGAACCTAGACACAGGAACCACGGGCACATCGTCTTTCACAGCATGACTTGTTTATCCGACTCCGAAGTTTAAAGCAGACCGCTGTAGTGTGTGAGGCGTGAGGCATCAGGGTGTGTTCGGGCCAGGAGTTGATCTTGAGTGCGACAGCAAAGGTATTCGGAAAACACGAGTCACTCATTGAGCAAGGTCCACAGCAACTTGGCAACAGCCAGAAGCAAGCAATGCCTCTTGCACAATCAAGCTCGATGTCCGTCTGCATGACTGAGTGAGCATGATGGTGCAATTCGGCTTTGGTCTGTTCAGAGGGGCAACGATCGCGCTCAACAGCGTGCAAAAGCAACAACTCGGAGTTGGGGCTTACCGTCTTCCTGTTACACCAAGTCGACATACATACGACCGCCTTGAGAAACTCCCGGACGGCTGGATGAGCATCTGCTTTGAGGATGCTGTGCCAGATTCAACAATGACAAGATCCCTTGGAGTGGAACATAGATGACGTCACTCCTCGAGTTTCCTGTGGGAGATGTTCTTTCCTGCTGCCCAGGCCCTGCGAGCTCCCTCCACCCTGGATTACGCAGGGCGAACAGGACCTGAAGGGCTTGAGACAAAGGCACCTTGCAGCTCGCATGTGTGTGACCCTCACGATGAGGACCTGCCCGAAATTTACAAAAAAGTTCCTTGCGCGGAGTCCAACTGGAAGCGCCACGAGGAGGCCTGGTGTTGGGGTTAGAGAGAGGCAGGCGCGAACACAGAGTTGTCTACATGCCTGGGAGCGGCGGCTTCTTCCATGACTGATGAGATCACAATCGTACACTGAGACTCTTCGCACGCTTGCTGTGCTCGTGGATCAGGTGACAGCTCTGCTGGACGAGGGAGCCAAATACAAACCTCTCGACACTTTGAACGTAGACCTCCCTGACCTAGATCCATTTTGATAGTGCCTTTCCAGTCGACCACCTTTGGCTTTACTAGTTTCCACTGCTTGGCAAGGATTCTCTTCTTGAGCGGTCTCACCATGTCTCACCGTGCCCTCTCTAGCTCCCCACGTTTGTGGCAAAGGTCGGTTATTGGGAACAGCTCAGAAGCGAGAACTCTTCTCTTTCAGCGTGTTCCTTTCAGAGACTGAGCACTGCCTACAGAACGCGATTCTTGATTTAACTCGAACGGTCTGAAAGCCTCTTACGGCTCCTTTCGCATGCATGAGAAGAGCAAATCTGTGCGACTCCATCAAACAAGCCGCCAACTTTGGAGTTAAAAGCATTGCGGCCCACCAGTTCCAACGGATGCGGAAGTTCGCAGCATTGGTCTGCCGAATACCGGAACTAAGAGGAGTGTCCTTCTTTCACAACTCGAAGCAGTCTGCGCAATGTTGTTTCGAAGTGACAGCGGCCTGGGATAATGCGGGGCCTGCGACCAATTTTCTCGATGACCGTGCTGCAACTGCGGTTTGTGCACCGTGGCCTCCCTAGGTCCTCAGCTGGTGTACCAGCCCTCGGTGGCACAGATGCAGATAGCGCAGGCAAGGAGTCTGCTGCATGAACCAGACGGAGAGTACCCCGGTCTCAGCGGCGCGGCAAGGCACAAGGTCCAATGCCGCATCCAGCACCTCGTGTTGTACATGCCTCAGTTCAGCAGGAAAGCCTCTTGAAAATGATATAGCTAGTGCTGCTGCTACTACTACTGCCACTTTCATTACTACTGCCGCTTCCACTTCCACTTCCACTACGACGACGACTACGACGACGACTACTACTACTGCTGCTACTACTACTACTACTGCTACCACTACCACTACCACTACCACTACCACTACCACTACCCCTACCACTACTACCACTACCACTGCTACTACTACTGCTGCTGCTACTGCTGCTGCTACTGCTACTGCTACTGCTACTGCTACTGCTACTGCTACTGCTACTGCTACTGCTACTGCTACTACTACTACTACTACTACTACTACTACTGACGTCGACCGTCAAGGACGAGGACCACCTTTATCCTGGTTCATAGTCTCGCTGTGATTCAGGTGACCACCAAGACGGTCCATGCACCCACAGTGTGGAGACCACAGGCCGGCTGAATGACACATTCTCTCTCTCATCGCTCTCATTTCTCTCATCTCTCTCCCTGCCGGTCTCTTTCTCTCCTCCCTTTCGCAGGTCGCTCCCATGCAGGTGCAACAAGCCTATCCTTATGCGTGCGACGCCATCTGCCCAGCCATGGAGCTTGCATCATGTCGTCATGTGAGGCAGGTGTATTCATTCTGTGAGGCACCGATGAGAGTGTCTCCGGCGGTCACCATCGTGCAGAAGCTGCCCCAGTCTTTTCCATGTTTGCTACCAGCTCCCACCGTCAGAGATGGACGGAGCGCAGCAACGATCCAGGCCTCGGAAGGACGCTGCCAGCCAGGCCTACTGAGTCTTTCGAGTTGTAACTCTTGGCCCAACCTGTCTTGCACGACCTTGACTGGACCGGCTTGTGCCTGCGCAGATAAGACCGCCTGTCGCCGCAGAGGGTACCGTGCTTAATCTTGATTCGCAAGGTCTGTAAGTAGTCGTACGGGTCGAGGACAGTGCCGAAGCCGTGCGAAATTTGCAATGCTCTCGACAGGCCATGTCGCTGCTGATGCGATCAACGGCAAGTCGTGGCCTGTCGATGCCTTAGAATCTCTGCTCGGTGCTTCTTGCCGGAAATGCATTTTGGCCGTCATGGTAGACACCTTCGGATTTCCATGCCAGGTTACTTACACGAGGAGTGCCGCAAAATGCAAGCTGTCCTGGCCACCTGAGAATGCACAGCCGCAGGACC